ACTGTGTAATCCTTGAGAAGCATCACCAGTTTGGCAGTTTCTTTTTTGGCGAAGTTAGCAGTATGGTCCCTTTAACAAAACATAAATGTATTACTTTCTATTACGAAACACAAGATAAACCGGAATAAATAACACGAAAATATGTTTGTACTTACTTGTTTGACCGTTGGCTGTTTGCGGACATCGTTATTTATATATTTAAGTATCGTAAAAGGTGTAAACCGTATTAAAACACAGAAAAACAACTTTATTTATATCGTGTTATTTAGATTAATTTGACACTTCAAACTCTTCAAAGCGCAAATAACGAATGAAGATGGCAAAAATGGATTTCATTCACTCAATATGTCTAGTGTTGTCATACAAAATAAATGTTCCCCACAAAAAAGAACCACATTTTTTGGGATGTCATTGCTCATTGCAATGGCAACAAATTGACCAATTGTTAAGATTAACTATAGTTAAAATAGATATTGAAAAACGCATTTACGATTTTACCAATGGTTATTCATTTAACTATAGTTAATGTAACAAATGGTTAAACCATTTTTTACTTCGGATCAAAAAACTGGCCCTTAGTAATACAATACTTTGGAATAGATTTCGAGTTATGGGAATAACTTATTTATAAGTTTATTTATTTTATCAGTTTCCTAACACAACATTGCTTTACATTTAATTCCCACAAGCTGATAGAATAACTAGAAATGTAGGTGAGATGGTCGTTGAAATGAATAAACTGTTCTCTTTTTTTCTAGCAAAGACCAAGTTAGATTTATGTTTATCAATATTTAAGCGGTACAACGGTCAGTAACAATTAACAAAATCGTTAAAAAAACAAGTGACATTCGAATCAAAAGTTTTACAGTAAAAAGATAAAAATAAAGTAATTTTTCTGCTCAAAATAACAGATTGGACCTCGTTACCTGTAATATTTTTGGGAAACACTGAACTGGAATAAAACTTTTAACACTGTTTCAGGTTTTGTTACCGGATATAATGGCTTAAATTATACTCTGAAAATATAGGAGTTAATTTAAAAATTAACAACGACTGATCTTCCTCAAATTATTTCTGTCGACTAATTTAGGATTCATTTCCTACAAAACGTTATACATAAAAGTCGTGAACTCGATGAATCTTGTACCCTCTAACTGTAGGTATAATTCAGATTTGACAGCGTGAACTCCTGAATTTCATACACTTGATCTATAATTAGAACTATAGAAACAATAAACACTAAGTCTGACTCCCGTACTCCAATACATTTTTGATCTATGTATGAGTAAAGAACCGATAATAAGACCGTCCTGAGGGTAGGGAACATAAGTACACGAAACTATTGTGCTCTGAATTCAAAAATTCCTTAAAATAGGTTTTATTCAAGTTTGCGCAGTGTGTTATATGTCGTCAAATGTGCGAGAAAAACATTTATGGAGTGGTGTAAAAATAGTTGTGAAAAATTAAAAGGTGATAGTGAAAAAAACAGACACAAAAATCAAATGCGTAGAATTTGATTTTAAATTAACTTGAAATTAAAATAACTTCTATCTTTTTGGAGTATAATTTAAGTCTCAAGGGATCTTACCTTTTACCCTTAACATTTTTTATGCAGCAGACTCACCTCACCTAAAGGAATTTTGCTGTAATTAAATGACCTAATGTTTACACTTTGTCGCATACATAAAACATGAATTAAAATACATACTTAACATGGCTCGCTTGGCCGTACCTAAAGCATTAATTAAATCGAGGTCCGCAGGGTCACTAACATTTGTAACCCTCTAAAAGGGAGACCTCTAAAAACCTATTTAAGGTTGATGTGTTACGACCCCCATCAATAAATAATGTTCCCTTTTAAAATGGATCTTGAGTGCTGTAATGTGAACTATATTTTAAAGGATTATGTAGTTTTTTTCTTGTATTAAATAAATAAGAAATGTATTTTTCTTTTTACATGTTTTCACAACTGTTTCTTTACAGCGTCAAAAGAATATTTATAGGTGAAATTTAGTTAAACAAAAACCATATCTTTGCTGATCCGCTGCGAGACTTCGACAAAAAATTCTGACTAGCAAACAACTTTTCCTTCGAATTTTTTTCGCGTTTTAACCATATTAAATAGCACTGTAGAGCGCTTATTTTCAAAAATGAAAACTGTAAAAAACTGATTTCTAACCTCCTTGACTTCGATTATATTTATATGTTTGTTGCATATTAAAGAATCCATACTTGGTTTCACAATAAATTATTTATTAAAAAATCTCGACCGAAATAATGTATTTAGTACTGTATTTAGATAGGTACTTATACTTAACGTATTTTTATATTTAACAAGCAACCCGCCCCGACTTTGCACGGGCAACAGATATCCGTAAACTTTGAAAAATTATATAGCTCAACTGTTGCGTTCACATTTATTACAGAAAAAGAAAGACAAACCAAAAAAGAAAACTGGTTCAAGGAATAAAAATAAATTTGTCGAATTCCGTCCGAGATCCGTCTTCGAGTTTTGCGCTTTGCGTCATATTTTGCGATTCATTTTTATTTTTATATTTACACACTAACAACGCGGTCTTTTTAATACATCTCTAGAAACGACGTCAATAAGAAAATAGATTTTTAACGTAGGCATTCCTTAGACTTACTCCAAGCTGCGATCCTGTTTCCTAAGGATTTCCGGTAAGCCCTGCACTACCGGAAGCCAGGATTTATTTCCACTTTTCAATTTTATGTAGGTCGCGTTGGCAATAATTTATTTTATAGGTAATTTGAAAGTATTTGCAACTGGCAATTTCTCAAGGTATACGTCTCATCTCTTTTTTTATAATTATATTATTTTAGTACATTAAGCAAGGCAAAAACACCAGATGACGTAAATACAAATTAAATTAGTACTGTTCCACTAACCTAAGAGAGGATCCTCAACCAGTCTAACTGACTGGCCGGCCCAAAGGCCCCGCATAAAACTTGCAGTTTGAAAGTCAGAATCGCCTCAGTGGTTTATAGTTGTGAAGTTGTGGTTTAATACAGGGTAAAACAATATTTTTTTATATGGAACGGACTGCTCTAAAGGCTTGATCTTCTTGCCTACATATAGAAGTGATCTCTCTATGGGTAAGATTCTGAGTTTAGACTTAACGATAAGTATTACTTCAGTCTGTCAAATTCAATACGTTTTTGACATACGGGAATCGTATTTTAGGGGCTAAATATCTACTCAAAATCTTTTCCTAAGGATATATATGTCTGAAGATTATTATCCCACGAAATGGATAATAATAATAGATTAGATTATAAAATATCATCTTCACCTATTTTCTCGGTGTCTCTTAAAGTCGTATTCTATGAGAGTCTTCGTGTTGTTCGTACAATCCGTTTCTAAAATTATTTATAAATATTTGTTTAGTTGGCGCGATCATTAAATGTTACCGCCTCGTTAGAGTCTTATTAAAATGATGACTACTTCAAATCAGCATTCAATCATTGAGCTGAAAAAAATATTTCACGAAAATTTGTAATATATATTGAGTAGAATTCTTTTCTCGATTTTTTTATTCGTATTTCGGTGTATTTTTAGTGAGAATATATGAATTACATAATTATGACTGTGTCAAAATAACTTTTGTTTGTTTTGCAGCTTCTCTACCATGGATAATTCCTATGATATATTAATTATTTGCCTATTTATAGTCGTCAACCAAAAAATATTATTTTATCTTAGTATAAATACAATTTATTTAACGGATATTAATTGAGACGCGTTACTCACTGAACCTGGTTTTATGTGCTTTCCTGTATTTTGAATCATAGAATTTATTGTTTCCAGGGTTTAATTATTTACCTAATAACCTAGGTTTTGTCATATTACAGAACGGCTTCCACTGCATTCATTACCGCAACATATGTAAAAGCGCAATAAATCTTTTAAAAAAACATTTAATTTCGTAACACTGTTCTGACATTTCCGTAATTCCGTGTGATGTAAAACTCACTAGAGGCTGCGATACAAAGAGATATTAAATTTAAAAATGTACGCTAGCAAATTGCTACCAGCGTTGTGGCGGTCTGAAAAAATATTAGGATGATTACCAACGTACGACTACCACTCACTTCATCGAATAATTTAATTGTTAAATATTGATTGTCTTAACTATTTTAAAACAAGAACTGGACAAAAATGTAGGAACTTTTTTGTATAAACAAGAGTACGTACCTACGTATACGTGTACTAATCGGTGATTTTAGTAATTAAAATTCATCAAGAATACAATAGAGTAGGAAAATAACGATTCTTGATATTTCAAAAATGCATTATGCGACGAAATATTTTATAGTAGAACGTGTATATCTAAAAGTTTTACCAACGGAATTCACTCGACGCGGTTTTTCAAAATGCCAGAACACCTTGTGCATAACGCATATGGACACACTATATGCGTTATGCACAAGACATGTCACATAAAATCAATATTTTGTTGTTACATTTTTCAGGCACTTGAATCCACAATGCTTTGTTCCGATTGCTTTTGTATGATAATTTATAATTGCTCCTTTGTTTTTGCTACTTGTTCTAGTTGAGTTCCTTTTTTTCTCTTGATGGTAGATATTATATAATTATATTAACCTATACCTACCAACTTTCAAATCAAATTTTATACGTAAAAATCTCCAGATAAACACATCTAAGTTTTGGCTGTAACTTATGTTTATGTTTTTTTTCTCATATTGTTAAAGAGATAGGTATTTAGTAATAATTATTTAAATATGTTAATTCATCACAAATTCACTTTAATATCTTCAATTGTTGAATTAATGATGTATTATTCATATGCCATATGTAAAGATTAAATTAAATTCATACTTGTGTTAAAATTGTTTAAATACATTTCTTAACCATGATAAAACTTTTACACACTAAAATAACAATTATCCTTAATTCTATACTTATCACCAAATCACCAAATATCACAATTCCTTAAGTTAAATGTAATTAGCATCTATAAATTTGACATTTTCAAAGCATAAACACAACCTTTATTGATTAATTCATCTATTTCACTCTTGCTGTATCCAAGACCATATAAAATTTCAGTTGTATGTTCCCCATGTTTTGGTGGTATTTTTTTTCCAGTAGCATTTGGTGGTGTTCTAGATAATTTGGGAGCTGGCTCTGGTGCCACTAAATTGTTGTGATCAATATAAAACGAATTTTTTGAGGCGTTACATTTGTTTCTGTTAGCTTCATTAAAGTTCACAACGGGTGTAACGCATGCTTCTAGTTGATCAAATATTGCAATCCATTCTTCTTGTGTCTTTGTAAGGAAGACCTCTTCAAATTTTCGATTACACATATCTTGATCAGCCAATTGATGATAAATATCTTCTGACAGATCTAAGCCTTTGAGTAAATTCACATAAAACTGAGGTTCCAGAGAACCAACAGCCATAAACTGTCCATCTTTAGTCTTATATGTTCTGTAATATGACATTCCACCATCAAGAACATTCTTTCCTGGTTCTTCATTCAAGAAAGGTAAATGTCTTGCTCTGAATAGCCAATTACCCACATATGCCAAACCTTCGGTCATACTTGCATCAATTATCTGACCTTTGCCTGATTTAGTCCTTTCAAACAAGGCTATTACTATCCCAAGTGCAGTTAAAACACTTCCACCGGCAAAATCTGCTAAAATATTCATAGGCGGAACTGGAGGTTGTTTGCCTCTACCTAACATTGAAAGTATGCCTGAAATAGATGCATAATTAATATCATGGCCTGGGTTATTTCTATAATATCCATTTTGGCCATATCCAGATAGCCTTGCATATATTAATTGTTTGTTTTCTTTCATTAAAGTTTCTGGGCCTAGTCCTATTTTTTCCAAAACTCCTGGGCGATAGGTATCAATGAGAACATCTGACGAGGAACACAGTTTCCTTACAACTTCTGCACCTTCCTTAGATTTTATGTTGATAGATAACATTTTCTTTCCATTACACATAACATCAAAAGGGGCAGGTTGTAGCTAAAAAAAATAAACAACAGATTAGGTCAAGGAAAGGTTGGTAAGGAACCACACAGCAAGAAGTAAAATAGAAGTATAAATTCTGGATTCATATTAGCAATTTTTCATTATTGGAATTTCGGTAACAAAACCAAGTTGAAAAAAAAATTAAAGAGATATAAAACAACACTAACTTTGTGGATTACTGTTACTGTTGCCCCAAAATCGGCTAAAATAGTACCACAAACTGGTCCCGGTGCAAGTCCAATCATTTCAACAACTTTTACGCCTCGTAAAGCCATGGCTTTTCAAAATTGTAAGATAAAAATTTCTATACTAAATGATCTGCAATATGCAAAGTAACAAATACTATATAATTTAACAAAAGGTTAAGTGTTTCTATAGTTTGTTTATACTTTATTTGTAGTTTGAACTGGATCCAGTCTGGATTTGAACTTTGTAACTATTTTTTTTTTTATGGCAATGGTAACTTACAACTCACAAATGAAATACATTACTGACTGCTGACAGATTAGATAGTAGGTAAGTACTTTAAAAGCTCTTTTCAGTAAATGAGTACAATGCTTTTATGTCCTATCCTTCTCAGGTCAAATTTAAAAATATAAAATAATATTTTCAAGTATTCCATTATATGTCTATAAGTTGAATTCAACATACGTCTATTTCCTATTTAGTTTTATTATCTATACATTCAAAAGCACTCTGTGTTTCGCCCCTTCAAAATAGATAAACACGAGAAACGAGAATACGAGTAATGTTACGATTGGTCGCTGTGAACAAGAAATTTCAATATGTATTAACATTCTAGCCAATCACGATGAGACAAATTGACTGTTGGAATGATCGCCATCTGTCAGTTTCAATTTCGTAGGGCAATACTTGAACTTCGTGCTCAATTCAATTTTATTGGTTTTTTCTGTAAGATGTGTTTCATCTATACAGAAGAGTATGATATAAAAAGTAAATGTTTCATGTAAATAATTAGAATTAACTATTAGTATTTCAAAAATGCTTATTAATTCAGCGTATACGTGTCTATTGTTCTTCATATCAACAATATTATTAGTGACAGCCGGTCGTGACTTCTATCAGATACTTGGCGTAACCCGTTCTGCAACAACAAATGATATCAAAAAAGCTTACAGAAAATTAGCGAAAGCCTTGCATCCAGATAAAAATCAGGATGATCCAGATGCATCCCAAAAATTCCAGGACTTGGGCGCAGCTTATGAGGCTTTATCAGACCCAGAGAAAAGAGAACTGTATGACAGGTGTGGAGAAGATTGTTTAAAGAAAGATGGTATGATGAACAATAATGATCCCTTTGCGAGTTTCTTTGGTGACTTTGGTTTTCATTTTGGTGGGGAATCGCAGCACCACGAAACACCAAGAGGGGCGGATGTAGTTATGGAATTAACTGTATCCTTAGAGGAACTTTACAATGGAAATTTCATTGAAGTAAGTTCCTAACTTTATTACACTATTAAATTATAAACATTGTTATTCTTAAATTATATTATTTATATATATATTTTTCTCGTTTATCAGATCACTCGCAACAAACCAGTTATAAAGCCAGCATCAGGAACAAGAAAGTGCAATTGTAGACAAGAAATGGTTACTAGGAACCTGGGCCCTGGCCGTTTCCAGATGATGCAGCAAACAGTCTGCGATGAATGCCCTAACGTTAAGTTAGTTAATGAAGAAAGACTTTTAGAAATCGAGGTAAATTTTGAATATTTCTAAAATACAGTGTAAACTCCATGTAACATCCCTCAATTTAACAACAAACACCTTAAAGCATTGAAAACACTTGCCTTTGATTGGTTTAGCTTGTTTTCCATACAATGATTCACTCTACATAGCATTACTACAATACTTAAATAATAAATCATACTTTTTAAGTTGCCGAAATTAGTTAAAACTGCGAAGCTGTGTACGTACGTAGCGTTGTCCTAGCCCATAATAAACTCGACTGTCGGCATTATACATACCAAACTTTCTAAGAAATCCGTTCTTTTATTTACAAATTGGGATTTCTTGCATGTGTAGACTGACTGTCGTTAGTAGGAGTGATGGATATCTATATGTTATCATATTTTTAGTTGCTCACACATTTCCAAACATGTCAAGTAAGAGAAAATCACTGTAGTATCGAAAATGTTTTACTGATACGCGTAATAGAGGCGGGAGAGTAGATAAGTGATGTTGACGCTTTGGATTAAGTCGCTCTACCCCGTCCACAATATGGAAAAATAAAGTAAATATTCTACAAGCAGAGGATGGAAAATATTTCAAAAAATGTCAAAATTTGGCTCAAGCTTCACTATCATGGTTTCACCGACAGCGCCAGATAAATATGCCTATTTTCTAGCCGATTGTGAAAGCTAAGGCAGAGAAGTTTGCTGAACAACTTGGTTAAACTTCTTTCACAGCAACAAAAGCTGATGGTAATAGGTGAATCGAAAAATCCGCGATGTTTTAAGAATCTTAAAAATTGCCAGTGACGTATAAAGCTAATAAATCAGTTTGGATGACCAATTAAAGGGGCAGTTGTTCACAACTGCCCCTTTAATTGCCCTGCCCATCCTCTTATGTCAAAACATAGAATTGGCATTTCTTCTTCCAAATACGACTAATGTCTTGCAGCCAATGGATCAAATCGTAATCGAAAGCCTCAAGGGTCACTATAGAAAGAAATTATTGATAGAGCTAGTCAAATCCGAAAGTAAAACTTCTACTTTTATGCTGCATGTAGTAAATTTTTTATATGAAGCCTGGGAAGAAGTGGAATGGACTTCGTACAAATTGACGAGGTGTAAACGGAACCGGAGTTTGATAGCGACGATGACCTTCTATTAACTGAGTGGATTCAACAGTTTAACATGGCAGGAAAATTAACCGAAAATCTTCAAACCTACACCGAAGTTGACGACTGCTTGTTTACAACGGATTCACTGACAGACAAAGAAATCTTGGATTCAGTGAGAAAAACTGAAGATCAAGAAGAAGGAGATGATTTTCTTTATCACGAAGATGCCTTAATATCACAAAATAAGAATAAAATAACTAAAAAAATAAACTTAATTACTGATGCAGCAAAAGACGATAGACGAAAATAACAGACTATACGCAATAACATTCAAATAAGGATTGTTTTTGTGTAATTATTAACACTAACCGGAAATAAAGTTTTTCCTTTTCTAACATAGATTTTTCGTTGTTCCATTAAACAACAACTCTTTTTAATGTCAAAATATATCACAGTCCCTTGAGTGTTGTTGTATAAAGTTTACATTGTATATTTAATTTGTCATCTTGGCAATACAGAATTATTTGTAACATGTGAACATATTTTTGAATTCTCTGATATTCATAATGTAGTGTCTTCTAGGTAGAAGTAGGTGCCCCTGATAACCATAAAACTAAACTAAGAGGTGAAGGTGAGCCTCACATGGATGGTGAACCCGGAGATCTCATAATTGTGTTCTATACTGATAGGCATCCACAGTTCACAAGGAAAGGAGATGATCTCTATACAAATGTCACAATATCTTTGCAGGTATGTTGGAACAGGTGTAATTGAATAGTCTTTATGAATTTCTATGTCATTCAGTAAAACCAAGTGGAATACATGCTACAAGTTTCTATTAGAAATAGTCTAAATATTTGTTGGCTTAACTAATATAAACTATATAGTGTATACCAACTAATGTTTGTATTCTCCTGTTACATATATATATATATATGTCATTGAAATGCATTTATTGTTTTATCATTAATTTAATGACTAAACAAGAGAAACTAATTTTGTAAAATTCATTCTGGAATATATTTGACATAGTTCACACTCAATTAAAATTTCAGTACTAATAAAATTCTGATAACACACATGCTGATAACAGCTTAGTTTAAAAGAGAGAATATTTCATATGAATTTATATACATGTGGAAATTTATTATAATCATATGAAAATTGTTATAAGAAATTTGTTTCTATAATAGTACAAGTTAAGTGAAATCATAATAACTATGACATAAATAGATCTGGCATTAGCTCAACTATGGCCTAATTATCTAGTATATGTTGATTATTTGACTTTAAAAAAAAAATGTTGCCATTTGTTAATATAATATTTTTATTACAGGATGCTTTAACAGGCTTCACACTAGAATTGAAACACCTTGATGGCCACAAAGTGACTATCTCAAGAGATAAAGTGACATGGGCTGGGGCCCGTGTCCGTAAGAAGGGTGAAGGAATGCCCAACTTTGAAAACAATAACTTAAATGGCAACCTTTATGTTACCTTTGATATTGAGTTTCCTAAGCAAGACTTTACTGATGATGAAAAGGAAGGTATGTATCGCGTTAGTATACTTAAACTTATGTATAAAGATTAGGTGTCTTATTCTTAAATATACTATAATAACTAAAATCTCAACTAGTAGTGTAGTAGATTTTTATAGACTAATTTGCGCGAGTACCTTTTTATTTTAAATTTATAACATTTATTGAACTCAGTCAGTAAAGACTTAGTCCGCGGTAAGAATTTGGATTTCTTTTTAAACACGTAAAACTTGAATAAAAAAGGTTGTATATTCCTAACTAGTCCTAATTTATACACTAACTTTTATTGAAATTGGTTCAATATCTTACTCAGATTTGTTAAACTACTTTTGTATGAAATTTGGCATATTTCACAGCTATATTGATACATACAAAATTTTTTTTATTTTTTAGTGTATAAATAAAAATATACCCTTAATTTTTTCTAATTCCCACACGGTTTGCTGTTGATACATATTATGATGAGGCTTAACAATTTTTATTTATTTATTTTTTATTATAATTAATTGCTTCAAGATCTCATGTGAAGCAGCTTTTTAAAAAGCAAAATTCTTGGGAACTAAAGAGTGACAATAGACATGTATTTTCTATGCCCTTGATTTGATTACTGGCAGTAAATTCAGAAGCTTTGATAGCATATTTTTTTTATTGACAAGTGTACATTATGTCCTATAAAACAAAATAATCATATAAACCTATATGATTATATGTTTTGGTATATGTGGCTAAAAGATTTTAATTATTTTAATAGTAAGTTTTATTAATTAACATTAGTTACGTCTTTGTAGATTATGGGCCACAACACAAATGAATTTAAATTATTATCATATTAACAAATTATCCTTTGTTACAGCTCTACGGAAAATACTTAAACAATCACCAAATAATAAAGTGTATAATGGACTCTAGTTAATTATTGAAATTAATTTATTTAAGTAGTAGTGAGTTTGAATGTGATTGTGAATTGTCGTCGATTCGTGCATCTACAATTTTTGTATAATAAAATGACAGACTTACTAATAACTCTTTACTTATTTCCTACAAATCTAATAATTTTATAAATATACAAATCTATAAAATATGATAAAACTCACTATATTTTGTCTTTTAATTCAAAGTTAACGCAATAACCATCTTATGTAAAAACATACTTTAAACTCGAAAGACTGTTTATGACACATTTAGTTATTTCTAAATTATTTTGAGAGCAATAAAAACAAATATTTAACAGCTTTTTGCGATAGTACGTTTATAAATAAGGTGGCTATAATATCACAAATAAATTTTGTTTAAAATAAAATGATAATTAAGCACACTATTTCACAATATAAAAACGATTTAATAAATATAAAATAAAAAAAACGATAGTGCAATGGGCGGCCTATCTGGAGGAGTCCTCCACTCTCTGTCTTCTTTGCCGATGAGTAGGGCCTATACAAATTTAATGACGTGGAATAAGTGATACCTGTATCTTATATATCATAATAAACATATTTTATTATATCGTATCGTCTACTACAAATATTTGTTTGCAAATGGAACTTCTTTCCTGAATACAATTTTTAACACATCATTTATTATTTCTATATGAACAATATATTTTTTTTACCACAGAATACAAGCTGGACCCGAAGCAACAACATTTATTTCTAAAAGATTGCTTACAACATTTTAAGCCCAAATTTTATTTATTTTACACATCAGTATAAACTTAATATGAATTATTATTCGCTTGTAAAATAATACTTCTTTGCTATTTGTAACCGACACGGTTACCAATTCGACGTGATTATTTTTGTGTTTTAAATTCAATATTGATACGTCATATTTGGCGTAAACGTCTACGATGACGATTCATATTAACCTGACTTTGACAGTCAGGCTAGAAACAATAAAATATAATGTTCATGTATTTAGGTGACGAGACATGAATCGTGATCTGTAGGGGCAGCTGTGGCAAGATGAGGCGCGGCAGCCATTTGTAAAACGCTATTAACAACCGCCCGAGCGAGATATCCCAACGTAACGGTCGCGGTCGCACCAGCTAAAGAACAATCGGACACCGGCTGCCCGCTATCCTGGAATATGAATGGTCAATGAATGCTTCATATTTATAACCTATAACACATATTTCCTCCAAAAATGCGTACCCACGCATATTCTAAATTTACTGAACCTGGACGAAACATGACTGTTCTTTACGTTGAATATTTGCGGGTTTAAATCATTAAACGATTATATCGATATGACATAGTTTCCGATAAAACAGTGAATAAATACACTTATTTAACTTAGGACATGTTAACGTAACCCCTAAAAATTCATTTATTTAGAAAAACCTTAGAGATTACCTAACTATAATTATTTATTTTTTTAAATCGCCAATTAAAAGGTTTACATACTAAACAATAATATATACAGAGAGCATGAGTGTAGGGTGTGTCTGTGCAACTGAAGTCTAATTTAGTGTCATTATCCACTGACAAATGTCAGAAAGTGTTCTAAACTCCAATTTACATTCCGTAGAATTCTGACATTTCATAAGTGTTGCTAATAAAAAAGTTCCAACGAATAAGGGACAAATTTGACCTATTTGAGGGCAATAAAATATAAAATGTTTTAATGTTTTACCTACAAAAAGGTAAATCTAAATATTTACTTACTCAAGTGACCTAATACAATAATATCAAATATTTGAATATATCGAATTTATTATTTTATATATATCGAACTTTATTTTATTCTTTAGCTGGCATCACTCCCTACTAATTCCAGGTTTAGTAAACCTTTTAAAAAAATGAAATGTTAGCAGTTAAATGTTATTTTTTATTGTTTGTGATGAAATGCGACGTAATTATCACTCGCCGTAAAATCACGTTTAATGTGGAGCACCGCACTCAATAAAATGGTTACAGTCACTAACAAATAAAATGTATGTATAAACGCAGATGGTTTGTAATCTCTGACATTTAAAAAAATTATATCTGTCAGAATTCTACGGAATTAAAAATCAGAGTATAGGGATATCATTTTTGAGAGTTGCTGCAACTACTTGCCTATAATTTTTTTATACTAGTATTTAATTAATACTAGCATTTCAATCAACGTATATAACAAAGATATATATAGCCGTTGGATTACCTTTGCATATGTAGAGTGCGCGTCATCCAGCAATTTATCCAGATCCAATGGTTGTTGGAGATACAGCTCCGGGTTTCTTCGTAATATTGTCGCGAGGACACAGAGCAGTTCCACACAAAGTTGGCGACGAGCCGCCGACGGTATACGGACTAGTGCCTCTTCTACTAATAATGCGAATGACAGTTCCGAACGGGACATGTTCACTAGGGTTGGTTGAGCTGGTATTGCATGGCCCTAGAAGTTTCTTTGTCATTAAGAGCGATAATTCTTAAGTATGAGATAGTTTGAAGTTATACTTTTAGCGCGTTAGGGAATGATGAGAGTAAATTATTACGATGCGCGCGCACACCGTCACAAAAAACCGACACCCTGAAGTTAGCTATAATCAACATTTTAGTTTTTTCTATTGTTGTGTCCTTTTTTTTGCAAACGTAAGGCGAAAGATAAAATTTTTGAAAAGACTTTTAACTTTTTACACCACAGAAGTATATATACAAAAAACCAAGATGCACAGTCTCGAATAAAATAACGCTCAAAGTGTCCAAAACTATTTTGTCATAACATATTGTTACAAGTATATTATTAAAATCAATACCAATTCTAAAGTTGTTATTACAAAGTTATACGTACTTAAAATAAAATTTTACGACCGACGTGGTCGTAGGACAAGTATTGAGTGGAGTCGAACATGACTTTTTATTTAAACTATTTAATAATTTTAAATTTATCACTTTTCGGGTGCTTTACAGCTGAGTGGTAGTGACTGAAGAAAAAGGTGTTGGATGTTAAATAGTTGTAAATTTATATTAATAATTAATCGGTTAAAAAGTTTTTCTTTAAATTAAAAAAAAATTTAAATTGGCTACTCTACATTTTATAGCGTAAATATATTTGTCAAAAAATACAACAAAAAAGTTCAAGAGTACATAAATTTATTTATAAAAAAACACAAATAAATAACTCGATCTATTAAGAGGAGACTATTTGAAATGAGGCACAATTTAGAATGTTGCGTCATTTTTGAGGAGTAGAGTTGATTGTGCATCTTGGGTTTTTGTATATCAATGACAGAAGTATAACTTTTAACGCGTGTACATAAGTATTAAGTACAAACACGTTTTTTTTGACGTGACAACGTCTTATAATTCGATGGAGCCGGCTGCACGCACGAAAAAACATGACGCATGCGGCGTTACCTCGCTCTGAGGCGTTCCATTTAAGGCTTGAAGTGCAAGCGAGAGCGCGGAACGAGCGACAAAAAGACACAATCGGCCTCCGCGTTCGGCAGCGTTCGTTTGTTAAAAAATTGACATAATTGTATTTATGCGTACAAATAAATGTAACTTGATAAATTCCATTGTGATTTCCTTTTACCTCCTCTATATCCATACAAAATATCTATCAAACGAATAAAAATAAAATTTTCTTTTGAAAAATGCAACCATTCCAGTATTTTCTTATGACGTTGTCACGTTCAACTTTCGTCAGTAAACCGACTTTACAGACAACCGATTCTTAATTTACAAAATGCCTCCAGCAAATAGCAACAAAAAATATAATAAGTAGATTTTATTTTTGCAAATAAGGAAAAAATTCATGGCTTTATATTAAGGATAATTGGATTTAACATACGGGAACCATAATTCGCCCTAGTATTGTTTCTGAATCTCACTCAAGCTTCTAAACAGATACGGCATGGGACTTTATTTAAAAATATGTAAGGATTCCTTACTTGAACAATAATTCCTTGCGGTGTACTCAATAGAATATCCCAAACGTGCACATAAAAGTGTTTAGGAACTCGACATAGACAGCCTTCCAATTGCCGTCTCTGTAACTGGGTTAATCTGGAATTGTTATATGATAAGGTGTCAACATTGTATATAGTCAAACATCATATTTCAATTTAGAACGTCAATATAATAACAATAAACATATTATCGAAAAAATCTAGGTCAAAGGTTAATTCCATCAAGAAGTTGGTCTGTGCCGATAGAGAACTGGCGTGGTTATGCTAACACATATAATTCTTTTTTGCTACGCATCATTTCATTTATTCATAATAGTTTATAGTTTTAATTTCATATGAAGTATCAAGATGATTACTGTCGAACTATAATGACGTAGTATTGTGAACATAATAAATAAGGTAAAGTAGAGTCCTTTTCATGAAAGAAGTCCCGCGGTGATTTTCGGAGCTAAATTTGACAGGTCGGCCATGTTGTCGATCGTCGATGTTATCAAGTTCGTTTGTTGTGGTAGATTTTTGTGAGTTTTTAACTAGCTTAGTGCATTTTAAAGATTGTTTACAATGCCAAAAGTTGTATAAAGTTCGGCTCGAGAAATGATATTGAAGGTGAAAGAGTTCTGTGAAGCGGAACAAAAGAATCAAGGTGTTTTAATACCATTAAACAATGTTCAGAAGAGAGTAGCCGCCATAACAGGTACTTTTTAGAGTTGTCACATAATAATTTTTTGCTGTATTGATGGGACTTTTATAAATCTATGATATAAATTAATTTTGCGACAAATTTGAACAAATACATAACGAATGAAACTAGGTAACTGAAATTAAGACATATATTACATAGTACATTACGCATTATAAACTTATTTACTATTATTTTTAATTGTTCATTATTTAATTGCAGGTGTGTCAGAGAGAACTGTAACAAGAATTACTAAAGAAGGTATAACAGCGGCGGGTACTTCGAAAAAAATTGTCACCCTGGGGAAGAGTCGCCCGCATCCGAAATAGTATTAATATAAAAAAGAACAATGGTCTTCTTGAGTCCTTACCTAAAATATCTATCACATAAATACCACCATTCATAAATTTCTAAATCCTAGATGGTTTATGGCTATTTACTTATTAAATTTCAAGTTCCTTCATTTTTTTATTGCTGTTTTACTATGAAAATTTATCCATACGGACTTCACCAAACATTGGAGTTCTAAACTCTAATAAATTTTAAAAACTCGATTTTCGAAATATTTCAATTTTCTTAGCGGGAAGTTAAAAGAAGAATAATAAAAATATAAAAAAAATTTAAACATAAAATTTATTTTATTCGTCCAGCAAAGCGGGCGCGAAACGCTAGTATTAATATAAAAAGAAAATTATATCTACGGCTGGTGATACTGAAACTGAATCTGATTCTGTTTCTATCCATTTTCAGACAGTAATGTTTCTAAAAAAAATTGTAATCTTTTTTTACCTATTTTTCATTTTCTTAATAGGTAGAAACCGCTAATATAAGTAAATAAAAATATACTTTAATAAAGAAATATTGTTTCACGAAGTATGCAGAAAATGGTATTATTTGATAAATTACATACTATGCTAAATGTAAAATAGGTAAATTTTTTTACTCATAAATTGCTAAATTACGTCACGCGATTGCAGCTCCGCGTCTGGGGGACTTCTTTCATGAAAAGGACTATAGCAGTGTAGTGACCTCAAATCTCCGCACAGATTACTAAAGTTATTAAACAATTTTCAAAAAGATATATATCTACGTAATTCAACAAGACTTTAGCCTGGCCCGCTAATTAAATAAAAAAAAAGCTTGGTGAGCAATTTATTTTTCTCTATGACAGGTGCCGATTTGCGGGGTTTGTTAGTTTGTTCTCAAACTAGTCAAATGGAAAAACTATTGCGCGCCAATAGTTAAGCTTTGCCCTTTAGACATAGAGTTTTTTTTATAAATCAAATTATTACAAGACACCGACTTTGCTAAAAGTTCCATACTTTATACACTAAACAAGCTCACAACTCTTGACAATTTTTGAACTTTAAACCTTACCCCGCTTCATCAGCCCAGTCGGATACAGTGAGCACCCTTTGAAGCAGGGTCCGTAATTTGAATGGCGATAGACTTTCGAGGGTGGCATCAGCTTTCTTTTCGTTGGGAAATAGTTCCAAATATATCCGAATCGCCTCCAACACCCACCCCACACGTATCTTTAGTATACCACGGAACATATCAGGATTTGTGGCAATCAATCGGCCACAGTACAGCACGACTTCCTGTAAAATGTAAGTATAACATGTAACGTAAGAAACCTTACAAAAGATGTTTCACCGGAAATCGAATCCATCTGAATGATCATGTTAAGAATGTAAGGAGTTTCACTCTAAGGTAATTTTATATAGGTAATCCTATAATAAAAAAGTTTCACCAAAATTTAGTATCTGTCCATCTAAATAACTTAAGTTATTTAAAAACTAAGTAACTAAAGTTGTTTAATTAAAGGATGAGGAAAAATAAATTAATGTTATTATTATTCTAATATCTAAATCTGATTTACTTTGAGTATTCCTATTTAAATATCTATATTACTTAACGAAAAGAAGAAATACGTTCAGTTGGCACCATAATGTGACGTCAGCGGTTACGTTAATTTACCTGTTGCAACACAGCGCCAATGACGTCATAAGGTTGAATAGTAGAATACATGACAGATTGTATTTCGCCCGGCGTCATTGGTTTATCGAAGACAGTTTCCTTTTGACCGATCACACCGACTGTTAACTGCAAGCATATTTTAATATTTTTGAATTGTTTATATAAATTTATATACCGTGTGCGTGTACATCTTAAGGTAATGAAATGTATTTATCATTAATGAGCGCTAAGGGGCTTTTTGACAGTATTTAAAATAAAGTGTTATTCAGGGTTATCTCTAATATGGCTTTAGAGCATTACAGAGTAAAATAGCTTTTAAGTAATCATTAATTTAATATTGTCTTTGATTGACATAACCTTTACACATTTAAAGAAAAAACTTTTTTTTTACCGGATTAAAGTTATGTATTTATTTATCCGACGTTTCGCGTGCTTTACAGCGTGCTTGGTCACGCTAACAAAATTATGTTAAATAATTGTAAATTTATAATAATACATAACTTTAATCCGGTAAAAACTTTTTTCTTTAAATCATTAATTTATCAAAAAGTCAATAGTTTTTCATCTTATAAATCAATGAACGACTGCACGTACGAAAAGCTGTGAGCTGAGCGTGCAAGCGAGAGCGCGGTGACGAGTGAAGGTTGAACTAACGAGTGCGATTAATTTATAAAATTATCGTCCGTAAACCGACTTTCAGACAACCAAATTTATGTATACGTCAGTGCCGTGATACAAAACGTCTGGCTAATCTGTGATAGCCCCCTCCCCGGAGGCCCCCCCCCCCCCCCCAAAAAAATTTTTTTTTTTTTTTTTCTTCTCTTTTTTCCCCCCCCCTAGTTTTTTTTTTGATCGAAACATGATGTGTATTTGTGGCATGCTACTTCGTAGGGACTAAACCAACCAAAACAATTTGGCGCGTAAAATTATGAATATTTAATTTGAATGAATAATCTGAAATGGTTTTTAAAATCGTGTCAAACAGCCAATTGCGCTCTTGTAAGAAATAAAATAATGGAAGAAAAAATTGTTGATGCAGAAATGACATGTTTAAAGCACCACATTTTTTACCTAAAATTTTTTTGTTAGTTTATACTTATGCATTTTTTTTAGAATTAAAAATAAATGTATTCATACCTGCTTTCCGTTAACGAGTACAGTGGTAATAAAGGGGCTGATAGAGTCCACAGTATGGTTAAGCAACGATGAGCAGTATCGCACTGCGCGCCACTGACGAAGCACACCGGCACTGTGGTACAGGCTTTTTAGGGACTCCAAGGCACTCATTCCACTTACCTGAAATATATTTAGTAATGTGAAAAGATTTATATGGTTCGTAAAACTTATACCCGCTATTAGAGAATTCTACTGTACTCTTTGAAAGACAAAGTAAATATCTTGGCAATATTTTTAATATACGTCGAATTTTTTTTAAATTTATTTATTTGGAAACTTGCCCGATAGTATTAGGAAAGAATAATTTATTAATAAATAAAAATTTAAATTATTCAGTTCATATTATCATTAAAATAATCTTATTTTCCTCATACAAATATTTTTAGCAATAGTCCCACATATTTACACCTGTATACTACTCCATCCCACCCCATCCCCCTTGTAAAGACGTTAAGAGTAGATTCAGAGTAGACTCCCGTATGTCATAAAACAAATGTCAAATCCAATACATTTTTGACATACGAGTTAGACTTAAAACTAAGTCTCATTTCAAAATCTCACCTGTACTTACTGTAAAGTTTATTTTCCTAAAACTTGTTAAAACACGTATTAAACCCACCTCATACATAGGTCCCTCTCTATCCATCAAAATACCCCACAATTGACTCTGTGCAAATATATTCTCTGTGGATCGCAAAGCTTCGACTACATCTGACGTAGATCTGTGCTTGAACGACTCAAAGTTAAGAATCTGTTCTCTATATGTTAGTGTCCGAGGTACATCAGTTAACGATTGATAGCCAATGTAATCGTGCTGCAATTGTTTAAATTGTGTGAACATCTCCGATGGAAATTCACCTTGACTCATGAAGTCTAGATGCTCTGAAATATTTAAGAGAAATCACATATCAAAAGGATTTGTATTCGATGGACAATATTTATTTCTGTAAAATATTAATAATAATAATCTAGTGACGCAGAAAAACCCTTAGTCATGGTCTCACATTGCATCCGTTTCTATGATCATTTTTATTTCATAAACATGACATTCAACTAGGTGATCAGCATTATTTCAAACACATTTTGATTTGAGATATGTCGGTTTCATCTCGATGCTTTGCTACACCACACGAGCGAGTGCTACATGTGTCTATAATCTCTGGGATGAAAGTCGCTTGCTGAACCCACTAACTAGCCCAACGCTGCTTCTAAAATATGTATCAATGGTACGCGAATATATCGGCTGATGGCTTATTGGATGCTGGCACGTTAAGTGTTTGCAAACAATAGATAGCTTATAACATAAATATAAGTTTATAGCCAAAATATAAAGGAAATAAAAAAAATCTTTAAGATTTCTTTTTATGATAGACAGAGCTACAGAACGTATACTTCAAAAAACTATTTCTATAAAATACATTTTCTAAAATCTCACCTATGCAAGAGCTTGATATAAGATTCTGCAATCGCCCCAGTCTCACTTTGACCCCATCACAGTGCCCCTTCTTCAGCATCGCGAAGAGATCTAACATCTGCTTAAAGTGGGGGTCTCGCATGTGTTCTTCACGAACTAATAGACACACTGTTGGCCTTCCCGAAAGACGCCAATATCTGATAAGCAAGTAGGGAAATTTTAAATTACATGGACAAATCAACACTTATTAGAAGTATTTTTAAAGATACCTGATATGTGTTGCCACACGCGAAAAATAAATATACAATTTTAGTTAACTTTAAATACTTTATTACTCATGAATTGGGTCCAATACTGGCGTCTCCCCGTAAAGACAATTTATTTACAGAAATGTTTTAATCTATGATATATACACATATTAATAATGTATTAAAATTTAAAAATCGCCATCTATTTTTTCTACTTTAAAACTATTTATTGCACTACTCACCTTATATTTGCCAAGAACAAATTAAATTGTTTATTTTTAAAAAATATGTACTTACTTCCCAACAAATTGCAATTCAGTTTTAATATCATCAATTAGAAGAGCCATATCCCGATATAAGTAGAACTCTGACACTTCAAAAATCAGCGGATAGCACAAAACTGTCATTCCGCACACGCGATAAATCTAAAAAACAATCATTTGAATATTTTTTAACTCGAGCTTACAAACATTTTGTACAAAAACCTTGACGGATTAAAGGAGTGACGGAGTTTATTTCCAGTTCCTCTTTTTCACCTTTGATTTGGGAATTGACAATAAATGTAAATTTAGAAGCTTTAATTTTTTTACTGACCAAATTTATTTTGATATGATTTGGATCTGCAACCTACCTTACTAGTTCCTAGGGAACCTACGGGTCGAATGGGACGACCTGTCAGTTTCAACTTAGCGCATACGCCCAATTCGCGATAAACATGTACCAATTGAGTAGAACTGCAAACCTAGAAAATATAAAAAAACTCATTTTTGGAGTTCTGAGAAATTAACTATTAATTCCGTAAATCGTGTTCGACAAATAAGCCAATACCAAAACACTACATAACATTCTGCGTGGTAAATATAAATTAAACAAATACTGTTGTTAAAAAATAACGTTTTTAATAACTTTAATAAGATAAATTATACTATTCTTTCATTTACAAAATGAATGTTATTAGAACCCCACTGTGTAAAAATAAATGAAATATTTTTGATTTTTAAAAATAAATAAACTAAAATGTATCCTTAGTTCCAGAATCGTTTCACAAGAATTTACTCTTGCTGAATATTTACAATTTGGTGGTGCCCAACTAGATAATGCATATTGTTTAAAATATACCTGCACTGGTTCTACTTCATGAGGTGTCTGTGTTTGTATTCCATACGTTCCCATCATAGCTTGAAGCCGCATTGATTCAGCTATTAGAACAACTTGAACCACTAGGTCAGTAGCAATACCCTGAAAATATAAGATTACTTAATAAATACCGTACCTGAGACAATGTGCTCTCAAAGCATTATATAACAATTGTTTGCATCGTAAAATGCACCATAGCGAGAAGTAATAAAGATGGAATTCCAATTCAAGATAATTGAGGATATTAAATAAGTCTACACCTCCACTGACAAACTATTCAACAAAAGCTCTCCAATGGTTCAGGCAAAACATATGAATAATTAGTCTAACATATCAGCTATGTTAGCGAAGCTGCGTTCACTTGTTTGTTTGTGCATACTGCATAGATTTGTGCAATATAAAGGCAACTAGTACGATTGCAAATAAAAACATTGGGTTTGAAATCTATATATAGGAACAATTTATAATGTAAAAAACCGTTTTTCAATTGAAATATGTATTTAGTTGTGAGACTTAGTCGAGCTTATTGTATTTTACTCTGGTGTCTATATTAATAAAAGCGATTAAAGATTCTTAAACTAATTTTGGTTTAACGTTTTTGAATAAGATTGTTAGTCTTTACGATTACGATCGATCATGTATAACATTTTCAGAAAAAAAATCTCATTTGCAGAAACCGAAATTTTCTGGGAATATTTTGCATAAAACATTTTCGATCAATATTGTGGAAAAGGACCTTTTCTCCAAGCTAAAGTCAACCAGTCGAACAACAGTTTTACCGCACCCCCAGGCCTTAGTGACTGTTATATACATTCTTGGCCCTTCGCTTACGCGATTCCTTGAATCATCAAACTGTTGTAGTCGCATATTGTGGATGCCGCTACAATAAACACTCAACAAACCTTCTTGTGTAACACAATACGTGTAACGTTAACGTTCTGAAAACTTACTACTGTGTGACAACGTACTACTTTCGCTACTCATCTTAAAAAGCATAACTTGGCCAAGTGAACACAATGTGCTTTATCATTTACCTAAAATACAGGACAGGTACTTACGAACGCTGGTTTAGCCTTAAGTTTGGAGCATGAAAAGGAAAACAAGATGTTTTATCTCAACCATTTCTAGATTTTTACACTTTTTAAGAATTAAATATACCTACTTTATCTTAAATCAGGATATTTTCATATTATATTTAATTGGCCTAATAATAAATTGATATGAGAGAATTTGATAAGCTGTAGCACTGGGCACGCATTTAGAACTCACTTATTTTTTTCGGCAGTGACATTTTTTAAATCGTTAAAAAACTCTTTAAGAACATTTTTGTATTATTATTATATCAAAACAGTTTTAACTTACCTGAAAAGCAGAATACCGTCCAGCCTTCCTAGGTCGATTATATGAAGGGAGATACCGTCGTATAGGATCTAACTCGTTTACGTGTAGTAACCCACCAGTTAACAGTTGAGCCAGCACGAACAATGATTGCGCCCACAGGAATAAGCCTCCGGTATCTGTATAAAGGGTTTGTATTCAAATAAGTGATGTAAAGAAAATAATAGAAGAATATTAATTATTATTGAAGCTTCATGAGAAGTTGGATTGTTTAGATCTTTAAGTTTTTTCTTAATTTCAAATAACACTTGTATATTATTTATGACGTGTATAAGTAATTGAATAAAACATTTCTTAAAAAAGCGTAGTGGAGTAAAACAACAACAATAAAAAAAAATTACGTCGGTCACGTGACACAATACGGTCACACATTAGTCGAATCGATGATAACATACCATGCCAGAAAATAGTATATGTCTTTATCTGTCTAATCCTAATAAATTAGAATAACAATTAACACGTATAAAACTTGACGTTTGTTTACATGTCTACTGACATGATACGTCGTAGGGACTGGTGCGACGCCATCTTGCCCAGAGAAGCATTTTGGCGGGATGAAATTCTACATGTTTAATTTGAAATTTTAAATATCCAACAGAATATGAAAAATATATAATTGTATATATTTGTAAATGATTTTGATCTAAAAAAGAATGCATAAGTTTCAATAGAGTTTCAAGCTTGAAACTGATAGGAATTAATTGTATTATAGACATTTGAAAGAACTCTTTCTTCTGAATACAGAGTATGAAATGGTACAGAAAAATCAGTTTTTAAATATTTTGCTAAGCATTAGTGATTGTCCAAGCGAGAAGTAAAGATATTATTTACAAAGGAAGAAAGAAAAATAGAGTGCAGTGCAAGATTGAGCGGTGCTAAGAAAAGCACAAAACATACATTTTACCTTTATTGTCATTATCTCCTGGTTGGTCTGAAATTGGTTTAAATATATTTTAATACAAACAACAGACGATCTCGAACTACTCAATTAATCGAGAAATTATGATAAAACATCTGTGACCGACTTTACTCCGAATATCACTTTATACATAACTCCAGTGTTTATTCGTTATTTTATTTAAGTACTCTAAAGGCATTTTAGTAAAAAAGGCAAGTAAAAAAAAAACTTTGGTAATATAATTTATATTGTATTACATAAACTAAGTTTTGAATTTAATTATTACTCAAAACCTTTTTGAAAGCTTGAATGGTAACTAGCTAACCATAAAGAATTAATTTGTGGAGGACTGAAGGTGCACTGTTCCACCAACCTAGCAGACCAGTCAATGGCCGGCCTGAAGGCCTGGAGACTGATGTATTGTGTATGTTCTTAAGGGTCGAAAACTGTATAACGCGATTCAGAGTATGACGTCACTAATATCGAAATATTTAAACTGTAAGCGTAGACAATTTACTAATACGTACTTGCCGGAACTCTTCGTACGGAATAGGGTTCGTTGCGTTCACTTTCAACACCATCTCGAGGCACGTAGTAGTACCAGGGAATGACTGGATCTAAAAGCAATTTTTAAAATCATCAAATGAGGCAAATTAATGCATATAACATCTTATTTATGACATGATTAACTAAAGACTGTATTTATTTATTTTTTTAATTTGATATTAAATACAGCCAATGATATTACGGATACATTATAATTTTTTTTATTAACCTACGGATTTCCTATTACAATATTTTATTTTCGATCAAGTTGTTTTTGAGCTGAGGTTACAAAGATACAAAACACACTCGTTCTACTTTATATTATTTTTAGAAGTATAGACAATAATAACCGAAGATTCAGATATTATTTTCTAATTATTTATTAACGTTAATCAAAACTTACCACCAAATTCATCCATATATATTCTCGACTTCAACAACTTCTGATACTCCTCAACCTGCTCCGGCAATGTCCTAAACACACCATCAATGATCATCATTACATAGAAAAGCGGCCACTCAGATTCCATTCCATCAAATTCCTTCAATTCACCCTTATTATAATAACGCCTATTCGGGTCTTCCAACACACACTTATAACCGTCCCGACTAAACCTTTTAAAACCATATTTCCCTTTCAAGCGATTCAAAAGGTTCGTTTTCGTTAATTGTACTAAGATATCTTCGTGTGTTGCGAAAGCTGGGAAGGATATTGTTGGCAGAAGAGCGGCGTCAACACCCTGTAAGGACATAGAGTTTTTAGAAAGAGTTATTTGCGAACAAACAACACAAAAAAGACAATTTAAATATCTTTATAATAAATCCTTTCTTACATCGATTTGTTAAGTCAGAAAAATTACGGGCAGATGCTTGGCAATAATTGCAGCAATTAAAAACAAAAATTGGTCAGAAAATTTACTATGAAAACAAATGCAAAATTGTAGAACCTGTCTCTACCCTGCAGTTTCACTCACGTTAATTCGATCGTAGCTTGATTTTCTATTATAGAACTATCTAAGACAAAAGTTTTTTATACAATAGACAGGCATTTTATAATTGGAACCAGTAGTTTCCAATATGCGCTGAATAGTTCAAAAAAATTATTATAATTTTTACTTTAGAACTAGACTCCCGTGGCAACATTGTTTCAAAAATACTTCTGTTTCTATTGTGTGCGTCAATATCTACGTATACAACGCTCCATGATGCTCCTTTGTCACCAAATAAATTGCATCCATTGATCGCTTCAAGGGCTGCCTTTGCCATACCTAAAAAAAACGATTTTCTAAACGAAACACTATAATATTGTAGTGTAAACAGTAAAGTATTGATGTCTGCAAAATGTGTAATCTCAAAAATATATATTTATTTTAGTTAATAAGTTCTAAAACATCATGCAAGCTATTTATACAAGAAAATATGACATTAAAAATTTTACAAACACATTAATTACATTAGAACATAAAACAGTAGATGATAAGCAAAGCGTAGGTACATAAAAGCTTAGGGACTTTTATTTCTAGTATCTGTAGGGTTAAAAGAAAAGAAATGCCCTCTACATCCACAATGCAATGCAATTAATTTATGTTCACAAGCGGTGAAATGAAATTATTCCCTTATTTACATTCTTAATATTATTAAGTTGGTACTGTTGCAAGAATAAGTTATTACCTATAGATGATGCATGTATTTCTGGTGTGCCATCATTATACTTAGAACCTCGTTCCCACATGCCATAATCAGGTGTTCTGTATGCTCTTTCAACATAGTATACCAGGTTTTGAACAAATGCAACTTCATCCTATAAATTGAAATTGTATTTTTAAAGTCACAACACAAATAATTTTATTTCCTGGAGACCCAACTCAGAATAACCTGTGTAAGATGACATTATTTTTGCAGTATAATGTATGTAATGTAATTTGAAATATATCTATACTCCATTAAAAATTTCCATCTTCAAAAAAAAAATAATATATAACTTTCTGTATATAGTCAAATAAAGAAAATCTTGACTTGAAATAGACCAGAAACTAATAAGAAAAGAGTTTACAAAGTATAATAATTTACAAACTTACTTGTGTATAAATGATTTGAAGTCCAGATGTAATCATTTGTACCAAAAAAAGTAAATATAAGGACACTACATCAATTTGTAAGTGATGATACTGCTCGTCATCAAGTACTGGTTCTCCTGTTGTAAGATGGAACTTAACATGTAACGCATGGGCCGCACTCTGCCTAGTCTTGAAGGCTTCTACTCTTGCTGATTGCTTGATCCAGCATTCTAATACACCTCTCATACATTTTACTGTGCTCTGCCCTAATTCATGCGACTTTCCACGATCATCATCTATACGTCTGAAATAAGTATAGTTAAATAGTTGTTTCAATGTGCTAAAGCTGAGATTTAGAGAAACAATGTTTTAGAGAAACAGAAGCCCACTGGCCTAATAGAAATAATAATTTGTGAAAAAAGAGCACACAAATGTTTAGGCATTGTTGTTTTTCATTCAAATTAGAATTTGACCTACCTATAAGCTTGGTATAGGCCCCATACAGCTGAAGCACAGTAAATGCTATCCCTCACACTTGCTATATGAAGATCAGAGGAAAGCACTGGGAATAAACCAGTTATGGGGCTTTGAAATCGTAGTAACTGCCGTTTAACTGTAAATTATGATAAAAAAGTAAATGCTTCAGATTCAAAAATTGTATCATGTAATAAACATCAAATGGCTAAATTCTTAAGAATAAAAGGCACTTACCAATGGCATAATAAATATCTAGCTGCCTGACAGTGTCTTCATAATTAGCTATTTTCAGAAATTGCTGAGCATTGATGTCATCAATGCTGCCCTGGCGAATCATTAGGTCCGGATGATCCTAAAAACAAATTTAAATACTATTTCTTAATTTTTATTTAAGGACAGTGAGCTTAAGTTTAAATAGACTATTCAATTAGTTTAAAAAACCAATAAGCAAATCCCACATAAGTTTAAAATATAAATGAAGGTGAAATTAATCATGATAAGACATTACTTTCAATAAATAAACAAGACAGTGAAATCTGAATAGTGAATACACAAGTGTGTGTAACACGGTGACACCTTCACGGCTGTTTTGATATTTGACAGTTGAATGTTTTTGTACTTAATTTTGGATAGTACTTTTAAGGTCAAAAGGTCACTCACAGATTATAATCATAAACTCCAATTACTAGACAGTTTAGGTTACTAAGGTACATACTACATACTACATAGTAACACTTGTGTCATAAAATAATTCGATAAACAATGAATGAATTTTAATTATAGACATTTCTAATTTAAAATTTAAATTTTTTTTAGGATATGATCTAGTCGAATTTACTTACAAACATAATCAGTTGAATGAACATGAATTTATTGACACATAAGTGTAAAGTGACACTTGATGTTTAACTTGAAAACTATAAAATTCTGCGAGTTTCCCGAGTTGTGTACACAACAAATATTTATATTTATGTAGATATTAATATTCCTTTTTTTAACGAGGTCGCATTTTTAACTAATAATTATCAATTTGTTTTTAAATAACATAATATATAGTGTTTAGTGGTGGTAAATGGTTATTAATCCTCGTCGATGATAGCCAATCTTTAGCGATCTCCAAGGTACGTTACGTGTATTTTTTATTATACTAAAAAAAAATATATTGTTTGATTCTTTTAATATTTAGACTTCTTACTCTAGATTATTTACTATCGTTAGGAATAAAATGAATCATGAGGTGCAAGAGGAGCCCAAGACATCCAGCAACAGAGAGTCACAGGTTGAATGGATTTTTACAATGTTCACATATTATAAATTAACCATGCATCTTTTCACATTAAAATCAAATAAATAAAGACATTGGGTCCATAACAAACATTCGTGGTGGGGTATGTGTGTGTGTGTGTATGTCTGGTCTGGTTATTGCTTTTGATTGGATATTTATTGGAGACAAACATTTTAAGAAATGATTGTTATAAACTTTAAGTATTGTAAACTATGAAGTAAAACTATTTATAATTGTAAATACGGTCAAGTGCTCATATACTGTTTTAGATTAAACAGAAAGTAAAATAAACAGTTCCTTAAAATTATAAATACTGTTAATTTGTAACCACCATATTTATAATTTAATTTAATACTGGCCATTTGAGACAGATGGGCGAGTCATAGAAGCATGAGGTGTATTGCATACTGTATTGTGTCACTAATTATCTGTATTATTATAGCAATAATCTTAATTCAACTAATAATAGTATATTTAAGTGTCCCTTAACATTATTATTTTAACATGGAAAGCCAAGTCTATGATTACTTGTTTAACAAACTTAATAATGTGGTCTCTAGATGATTTATAACTTAATTTACTTAAATTATAAGAGGATACAATTTCAATTCATCCCTGATTTCTTTACATTGTTTGCTTACCCTTCTTCTTTTCATTTTATAGCTAGATCTGTTCAGTTTAATCGGAGGAAGTTGGCCACCAGCACCAAGAGAACCTGAGAGACAATATGGTACTGTACCAAGAACACCCAAAAAAACTCTACAGTATGCTCATGAAAGAGTGAAGTCAGTCAATCTATTGAATCACATAGTACCAGATAGAAGGAAAAAACCAGTGTTTAATTCTTCTTCAAGCAGTAATTTTTATACTAAGATGGTGCATGATACAAAAAAAATTGAAACTGGAGTTTTAGTCGGTATGATGCTTATTCATTAATTTCTTAAGTTTTATATCATGCACATGATTGCTTATCTCCCTTATCTATATAAAATGTAAGTAAGTATATAATTTAGCCAGAATATAGGAATTGGTGTTTTAATCTAACAAACATACATTTGCACAAAAGTCAACAAAACAACACTATAATTTACTGCATACATATACATATATTAGTATAAGCATAGTACTACAATATCTTTAAATAATTTAAATATGCTTTAGCTTAGCCTAAATTGAAAATTATTGGTATTACGCGCAGTATCACGGTAAACCTAATAACCAATAGATGAATTAGAAATGGATCTTATTAATCTAGAGTTTTAAAGCAAGCATGACGATTTAATCTTACCATAATTCACATATTATCCTTACAAAGATCCATTCTTGCGCGTAAACATTTTTACTACTCAACAGATTAAAACATAGACGTACGTAGTAGGACGTCCTATTTTAACTTTCCTATTTCTAATTATAGAATATGCGGGTGAGACGTCGATCGTCAGTTGTTACGCGCAATGTCCATGTCGCAAACGTATTATCTTAGGGAACTTTCAAGAGACGAAATACCGCTATGCGTACTCCAATACGAAACGAGTGTGTTTTTGTTATTAACAATATTCTTATTACAAAATTTTTGACGTATCTATGCGGTCACAGTGACCATCAGTTCAGAAACATGAAAATTCTATTTTTTTAAGAGAATAGTATTTCTAAATCGATGTGACATGTAACATAAATATATGTATAATCACCATGAGAAAGTGCTTAGACCAACGTATTCATTAAGTGCAGAGCTCGTAGATTTACTGTTTACCGGTACTACGGGTACCGGCTAATTGCGTCGCTTGTAACTTTCGTTATCTATCTACGCCGCAGCCAATTTCGTGAGATCCTTAAAGCCTTCTAAATATTGGCTCTTTTTTCATTATATATCTACTACAACAGGACATCACTTCTCGTGACTAGCTAAAATGTTTAGCTTTCTTTAAATGTTTGCCAGCAAGAGACATTATTAAGTGCATCTTTCAGATGTAGGCGGTAATGGAATTCCGGAAGAACTATATGACACACCATCTCTTGGATCGCCTAGATCAATACCTCGATGGCAGGAAAGACAGTCACCCATACACTTGCAAGACGACATTGGCGTTGGTTCGTTGGTTGAAGTAGCAACTGACGTAAACCAGCATTACTATGGTGTGGTCCGATGGATTGGAATTATTGATGGTGAGTATTTATTGTATTTTAATAAAAAATTAAATGCATGCTTTTCCAGTTTCTAGCTTTTCTTCGTAGTCTTCATTACTGTAGGTCGTGCCTGTATTGAAAAGCACTAACCGATACGTCGACTTGCTGACTCTATCCTCTCAGCATCCCTTGCACTCTCAGTGCATTAGGGATGCTGAGACCCATAATTGTCATAATTTAGTTTTACCAACAGATAGGCGATTGACACCGATTCTCCTGCCATCACTCCTCCTTGTTGCTTGTTGAGATTATTCGGTTCTATCCTAGCAATATGGCAAAGTAGCTCAACAACATTGTAAACGATAGTTGACAGTCTTGTGTTATTGACAATCTTTAGTTGGTTGAGAATGGACTTATTGGTTCTTTAAGCAGGTCGTTACATCTCCATCACCACATCTCAAATGCCGTTATCATTTTTCGGTCCGCTGCACAAATTGACTAGGACTTTGATCTGTACAAAAATATGGAAATAAGTTCACTAAAACAGTGAACATTGAAAGAAGATTGTAGAATTAGCGGATCGGATTATTAAGAAGCTGAAACTAAGTATACGTTTTTAGAAAGTGTATGTAACATAGCCTATCGGAATTTTTAAAATAACTATTCCAATATTATGATAAATATGTGGCTTAATCTAATCCTAGTTCAATAGAACTAGGATTAGATTAATTTGTTGTATACGAGCATTATTTGAAAACCAATTTAGTCTGACCCTAATCTCGAATAGAAAACTTAATCAGCGCTTGGTACTTACTAAACGTAGCTGAATCCATCGGTCGAATACAATTTAGAAAATAAAAACACATGGTTTCCATTAGTACGACGCTAGTCCCCATAAATTGTATGGAACATCGATAAGTTTGATATAAATTAATAATATAAAGTAAAGTTTATTCAATCTGGTTACTCATACAAAACATTATTCTTACTTCATTATTACCTCATTTTAATGTAATAATTTTTCATAACATTCGGTTTGTTTTCTTCTTAGACACAGCAACAGCAGGTGTAGAGCTGGAACAGAATGTGTGTGGTTTGGGAGATGGCATTCGTAACGGGCAACGATTATTCCCCTGTGCTCCGGGTCGTGCGTTGTTCGTACCACTTGCATTGTGTCGACGTGATGCAAGGTTTAGAGACACGCCCCCGCCGGAACGACATTTGCGTAATGAGGAACATTTTGATCAGGTAATCAAGCTTCAATATGGTGGCACACTCAAAACCCTAAATGTGTCTTGGCCTGAGATTGCATCCGTTTCTTTGATAATTTTAATTTCATAGACAATCATCAATCAAGATTTGGGAAAAGCCGGTTTCCTCCATGTTGCTTTCACCACAGTGTAACAATTTATAAGAGAATTCCATTGTACACTGGGAAAAACACCTAATTTAATCGCACAATACCAGAATACGGCTTTTATGAAGTGGTATACAAGTCCACATTACCTCACTAAGTCTAACTCCAGGCAAAAGATTGCTCTAACAATTGTTGTACGCTCGCAACTAACGTGTTCGTCCTTTTCAACAACAATTGGACAATATGATCTGTCCTGAAGAAAGGAATGGTTCACCCTAATAACTGTTCAATAGAGTAGGAATTCGTGGGGATCCTTAAAAATGGACATTTTAATAATGTCTGGGTTAGGATATATTTTACAATGCATACAAAAGTGTCAGTGTTGTCAGTTTAGGTTGAAATTCATTTTTTATTAAACGTTATCTTATTACTTTCAGTCACTTCCAATTAATAAAATAATATAATTGGTCTATATAAGTAGTTATCTTAATTATATTTAAAACACAGGAACAAATTGAAAAAATTAAAATTTTTTTTTTTCAAATAACGAGTCGAAAGTGATATATAAACATTTTGTGTGAGTTTGATACCATTTTTTCTATATAACATAGTTTAAGGGGCCATCTAGGGGGTGTACTAACCAATACTTATATTATAAATTCTAGTAAAAGTTGTTTTAAGTAAAAATACACTAAATGTAGTCACTTTATCGTCATACTATAAGATGATTACAAAAATACCTAAACAAAGTACTGAGTCGCTGAGCCTATTCAAATTATTTATCCCCCAAGCCTTTAACGAAAACCGTGCGCTCTTTTAATAGTGCCCTTCACTCGAGGCTGGGAGATCATTTCTCCTGGCTCTGTATTTCTTAAAACCACTTTTCGTCCATGATCAAAGCGATCGAAGTGAAGCGGTACTTATCTTAAGGGAGCGTTCAAGTATTACGTCACGCAATTTTTGGAGATTATTGACACCTCCCCCCAATGTAACGCGCCGTAACGTTTTTCTGTACCCAATAATAAAACGTTTAAATTTCTATTATGTGGTGTAAAGTACTGGAAAATCGAAAGTAATATTAACAATAACGCGTAATTCAATCTCCGCCCCGCATCGTAACGTTTTACAAAAGGACAAAATTCGTTACGTAATACTTGACCAAAATTTTTGTCCTTATTTTTAATTTTATTATTTTGTATTAATTTAAGCTAGATTACTATTTGTTGGGAGCGCTTGTATGTTATACTGTACATGAGTTTCTGAACCTCCATGGCAGTTCCTGTGGGCTTACTTATTTAAATTAATATTATCATTTCCAGCCCGATTGCCCAGTAGTCCCAGGCGTTGTGCCGCCTTTAAACTCTTTAGGCGACTTAGCAGGCAAGAACCGAGGTATTCAAGGCCACCACAATTCCTGTTATCTCGATGCAACTTTGTTTGCTATGTTCACTTTTACAAGCGTTTTTGATGCACTTCTATATCGACCACCAGAACCTGAAGTAAGTGATATTTTCATTGACATTAGTATGAGTGACAATTTAAACAACAAAAAAAATTCACGGTCTATGGTCTTGAGAATCTCTATTTAAGATCTGGAAGGTGTAGTGAATTATAATGTCTTCACTATTCAATATATAAATTAAATTATAGTACTTTAAATATATTTACTTGATTAGATAGTATCAAAACTGTTTTTCTTACTATAGTCATACAGATTGACTGATTGCTGACGAGATCAATTTCTTTCTAATTCTTTAAATTACTTTCAACTGTAGAAGGGCCCATTTAACATATGATATTTGACACCTCATCAAAATACAATAAAGTAGCCTTGTAGTTCCGGGAGTAATACTAATATATTATTTTTTCGAACTTGGAACTGCACATTTGCTTAACTTTTGCAAGTCCAATTACATATCTTAATATATATAAATTACGTGTCACGTTGTTTGTCCGCTATGGACTTCTAAACTACCGAACCGATTTCATTCAAATTTGCACACCGTGTGCAGTTTGATCTAACTTAAAAGATAGGATAGCTTACATCTCAATTTATACCCGCAATATTATTTTATTGCAAAATATTTGTTTATTATTTGATACTCACAATACTAACAGATGGCGCTGTGTTGAAAGTACTAACGTTTCACATAAGCTACAATTTAATGGCATAACCACCAAAAACGCATGGTGGTCCCCATGACTGGTGTTCTCTTACCGTTTCCCTTGAATAGTTTGCTACTATGTAATATAACAAAAACCTTAGCCACAGCAACGCTTGGCCGGTCTGCTAGTCTTATCATATATTGTTGTTACAACTATGACAAGATACCCTAAAGTTTAATTTAAATAGGATTCACCGCACTACAGTGAAGTACAACGCGTACTTCGCGAAGAGATAGTGAACCCGTTACGACGTCACGGCTACGTGCGAGCCGACCGCGTTATGAAATTGCGTACGTTACTTGAAAGGCTTTCGGACGTGCCCGGACTTACTTCAGAAGAAAAGGTATTATGAAAATTATTTAGTGTTTACATAATGTATATTTACCATAAGGTAATTTTGCTCATAAAAGTTTTCCAATTTTTACAGGATCCTGAAGAATTCCTAAACGGTCTAGTAGCACAGTTATTAAGGGCTGAACCATTCCTAAAGTTATCTTCAGGACAGGAGTCATATTGCTACCAATTGTTCGTTGAAAAGGACGAACACGTTACTTTGCCGAGCGTACAACAATTGCTAGAGCAATCTTTCGCCACTTCTGGGGTTAAACTTAGTGAGGTAATTTGGACTTGTATAAAATAAAAATAAATCAGTGGCGCTACAACCTCTTAAGGTCTTGGCCTCAGATTTCTGAATCTGTTTCATGATCATTTTTAAATCTAATAGGCAAGTAGGTGATCAGCCTCCAGTGCCTGACACACGCCATCGACTTTTTGTGTCTAAGAAATGTCGGTTTCCTCACGATGTTTTCCTTCACCGTTCGAGCAAATGTTAAATGCGCATATAGAAAGAAACCACGCACCGTCCTACGACCTCAGGTATGAGAGTCGCACGCTGAAGCCACTAGGCCAACACTTTGGACTTGTATACCACTTTATAAAAGCAGTGTTGGCCTTATGGCTTCAGCGTGCGACTCGCATCCGTCGGTCGCGAGGTCGTAGGTTTTGATCCTCGGCCGTGCACCAATGCACTTATATTGTATTTACTTTGTAGTGTGACGGAAAACGTTATGAGGAAACCGGCATTTGTCAAGCCCAAAAATCGATGACACGTGTCAGACACAGAAGTCTAATTTTATAGAACTTTGTCTATAAAATAAAAATGATCGAAGAAATGGATGCAATCTAATTTCAAGAATCAAGACCCATAAATGGTTGTAGCGCTACTAGATTATTATTTAAAGAAAACAATACTAGTTTATTATTATAAAAGACAATACTAGTTTATTATTGTTATACTTATTTAGATGAGTGAATAAGTTAACGCAAATTATTTTTTTTAATGAATTTATTTATTTCGTAATTATACAGCATACAACATAAATTATATATAATAAAAAAAAAAGGGTCGTGTACTTATGTACGCGCGTAAGAAGTTATACTTCTTTGGCATTATTAAAAATAGTTTTACAAATAGTTTTTGATTGCATGCAAATAATTAATTACAATTAAATAATCAAAGACTGGAAAAGGAGTCATTAAAGTCAATAAAGTTCAGTTTACATTTGAAAAATTTATTAAATAAATATTTATTATTATTCTCTACATTAAAAAATAAAAATATTTATCTTTAAAACATTTTTATTTCATTATACTATTTATTTTTAAGTGACTCTAATGTCTTCATCAGAATTTCGGTTTGTAATTTTAAATTAATCATTACTTGGTGTGCATCTACGAGGCTTCTCCAAAACTACTTGCTTTCTGCAACAAAGAGAATATTAATTTAAGCTCTTCCCAAAACTTAAAATTTTTTATATTCATATTATAAATTTTTTAACACATTTATATTAATATAATTATATAAATGTGTTAATAATATAATTTGTAGCACATGCTACAGACCTGGATAACAACTTTCTTTTATTCTATTTAGAGAAAGAGATAATTTAAATATAATACTGGTGTCTTCCTTGTAGGTTTCTTTGGAGTTGTTTGGGGATTCTTGTTGTTCAGTTCGACATGATTTTCTTTAACCTTTCTTTAATCCTACAAAATAATGAAATTGTTAAGTTATGTTGTCACTGTTGTGCACACCTTTGTTTGGCTTTTTTAGTATTCAAGTTATGTCAAAACTGATTTATTACCTTGTCATTGTTGGCTTTATTTGCTTTTGGGATATCAATTGTTTCCAAAATGATTTTATTTGTAATAATCTGAAATATATAAATAATCTATTAATTTAAGTATCATGGTGAGTGGTTCGCACTCAGGTATTAAGGTGTATTATACCACTTCCATTATAATGGGAATGGGCTCACTTCTCGGACAGAGTTTCGGTACTACAAGTGCAACATGGATGTTTTGAGGTATACAATATCTCTAACTACCCTGTAGGGGATAAAGTAATGTTGTAACATATGCCTATGCTTGAAAGGTTGAACCTTGAACTCACCATACATCATATTTATAATTAACATTCCTACTCGACACCATCCATCAAATTCATTGAAATCTACTTCAAACCATTGTGTCTCAGAAGGTGATGGTGGCTTTGAACCACCTCCAGTTTTTGATGTTTCACGGCGATAAGATGACAACTCTTTTTTGTATTCAATTTAGTGCACTTCCACTGATTCATCAATTGTTTTTTGTCTCTTGTCCTTATATTTGCTAGATTAAATCTGATGTTTTGATTAAATAATGTGGTCATTTTTTTGAGATGCAGGTACTTATTTAAATGTTTACTTCTCTGTTATATCGCTCCAAGCCTTCATTTTCTCCTTATTAGTATTCGTGCTTAAATCTTTGTTCTCAATATTGATATATAGGGTCGTAGAATATTTCTAAAAAGTTGCTGTAACAAACGCAATAAACAAAAGCAATGAATAATGGTTCATGTTTCAGTTTTAATCAACAATAATACTCGATAATACATACGGATAGTTAACCTCAATTGTATTGAGCACTCAGGAAGGTTAGCACAGTTTTTTCACAAATATTTTATATTATTTCACAAATATTTTGTATAATGAAAATAACTAGGTATATAATTATTAATTTTAAACAATAATTAAAACTCCTATATTTGTTTAAAAGGTAAATGTCATTGTCAGATGTCAATTGTCATGGTCATTCAAAATTCTTTTAACTGCTAAGCTAGAATATGCGTAAGTTAGCTTCACGCATATTCTATTCTCTTTACTTGTAGTTGTCTTATTCCCACTCCCCCACCTATATCACACTGCCAATGTGTCAAAGTCGCCATAAAATTTCACTCTATAATTTTTCATACGCGCCAAAGTACAACTTCAAAAACAATTATACTAAATATATAGTCAAAGATGGAATACATAATATTTACAAAAATGTTAAAACATTTACAAAAGGAAATAGCAATAAAAATTATTCAATACATTTAACTAAGTAATACCTAATTTGGCTGTGTTGCGTGATTGTGTAAAAGTGAGGGTGTGAATGTGGGGTGTGTATAGCTAACACAAGTCAATGCTTAAATATTGGTTGTTGTATGTCTGAGTTTTTTTGCATAGTTGGTGTTGATGTGTGGAACGCGAAACAAAGAACGATTACGAGTCTTGTAGGCAGGAACATGGAATGAGTAGAATTTAAATAAAAATCATTTACATTCCCGATTCAACTGCTCCAATGCTGCTGCTTGAGCGTTAGCGAGAGATTATTTTATTTGATGACAATATTATTTGTTTTTTAAGGTCCCTGCAGCATTTATTATTCAGATGCCTAGGTTTGGAAAGAACTACAAATTGTATCAAAGGGTTTTGCCGTCACCACTTTTGGATGTGACTGATCTAATTGAAGGACGTAAGCCATATTTTTGAATATTAACACTAAATTTATTAAGATATTTTTTTGTAAATTTAAAAAAATGCATTATTACACATTTTGAAGCAGTACAAACTTTTGTACACAAAATCAAAGCAAATTACTTATTTCTATTAGGCCTATTAAAAAGGAACTTTTGAAAGTTAAAAGGCAAAATTACAAGTAAAAGATTTTTTTAAAATGACTAGTTGCCTCTTCCAAAAGGTAGCTTCATATGTAGAAGAATGGGGAAGAAACTCCATACTTACTCTTACAAAATAGTATAATATATTTTGTATACAAGTGATACATGTATCTTTTGTTCCATAATAAACATACATTGATTTGATAATTATATGTGAACAAAAAACTATAATACTAAAATAAAATAGGCGCATGGTGTTATGAAAAAGCAATGCAGCAGCTAAAAAAATTATTATGTTGATACATGGTGCTCACATATTTACAAATATAGCAACTATACATTTTACAAACGAGTTATTTACAAAGCGATATTTCGTAAACCATATTTTATGCCTATCGCGTGAAAGATATATAGATGAGATGGTTTTGTCCCTAAGGCGAACAAGTCACGTTTTGTCTCAATGTTATATGATTTTAGATAAAATTAATTGACTTGTAACAATAATCTTAAGTGATATAATTTGAGATTAAATTTCATCGTTAAATGTCAAAAAAATAATTTATAATAGCAATTTTAAAATATTTAACCGCCTCCAAATTTGTTTTTAATGTACCAATCACCTTGGTTAATGATTTTAAGAATTACTGAAACGGTTTTAAGGAAACATTGACTATTTAATTTATATCAATGTCTTACTTTCCGTAAAAATGGTAGGCAAACATACATACACTTACGAAAAGCAAACTGATGTTTTCTGCATTGTTTATGGATCTAGTACCCCGTCAGTGCGCGGTATGCGGCAGTCTTGCGCGTTGGGAATGCAGTGCGTGCGTAACGGGTGGAGCCCTCGATACAGGCGCCCTCTGTACTTCTTGTTTAAGACTCGCGCACGCTACTCGCCCCACACATAAGGTATAGTAACGAAGATAAATCGATTGAATCCAGTCGTTTTAAAATTGAATTAATATATTTCCGTTGGTCGGCCATTTGGTAATCTTTTCAAGGTCACAACTTATGTTTTCCATTAACAACAGAAATTATAAGAATTTAATTTAGCCTGTAAATAATAATAAAAAAAAATCTATGTGCGCTATTACCGCTTCGTACGGTGAAGGAAAACATGGAGGGGATACCGGAATTTTATATTTAGTTGTAGTATTTTTATTATTTTATTGTTGTTAGAGAAACTGTTCTTAGCAGCGCCCATTAACATCCTGCACCCAATTTTTATTTTTACCTGTTTTGTGATGTAAATTAAGTGTTATATAGAAAAAGAAAAAAGAAATTTATTTTTGTTTCAGGCAACACCGTTAGCAAGATGTGAGGAATACGCGAATATATTGGAGTCGTGTCCCGTACCACGTGTTTATATGGAGTTATTCGCAGTTCTTTGTATAGAGACAAGTCATTATGTTGCCTTTGTGAAGACAGGCGTCGCACATGATGCTCCTTGGTGCTTCTTTGATTCCATGGCGGACCGAAAAGGTATTTTTTTAAATTTGGTCTACAAAATCGTTTTTTAATGGTTATCTGTAATAATTTTTGTTGCTCTTGTAATCATTTGAAATTTTAGTATATATATTTCAGGAGTATTTTTTATTAGGAAACAATACTCTTGTATAATATATAACATAAAATAGTTTATATTAAACTTTTGACAAACTCTTGAATTAATAATATAAATAATTTTTAAGAAGTATTATTTCGCAAAAAGTGTATTTAAAATTTTAACCACGTAAAATAAAAACAATGTAAGCTGATAGAAAATGTACAGTCTATTGCATTATACCGTTTACAAAAAGATAGTTTAATAATATATACGCAAAATATTGTATACTAGCTGACCTTGTCCCACTTCGTTGGATGACTTTTAAATATAAAATTTAGACGTTGACATTTTTGAAGGCATTGTCAAGCGCTACAAATTTTCTCTACAACTCATTCATATATTTCTCATTGTTAAGGCAGCGTTAGTAAGGCTTTCTATTTAACTTTAATCAAATCAAAATCAGTTCCAATCCAGAGATTTCCTTACCCCCTTCAACTTCACAAACTCTATTTTAATATTAGTATAGATGATTACCGCTTAATTCCAGGTGAACGCAACGGCTACAACATACCAGAGATAATAGAAATAGAAGAATTAGCGGGTTGGGTTAGTGACGAAGGGGGTCGGGCTTTACACGCTTCCGCGCCTCATGATCGACTTCTACCAGCCCACGCTAAACGGTTACTCGCCGACGCATATATGTGCTTCTATAGGAGCCCAGACGTCGCTATGTATAGATAGACAAGTTATAACTGATAGCCTATGCGGAGAGCCGTGACAGTTGTCACCCTGATATGAAAAAAATAAGTAATTTATTTAGCAAATATGAATCAGTTCGCTCTACTTCACCTACACTGGCTTCACCAGTTCTTTCTGCACAGACTCTAAAGCAGGCCATAGACGGACCGCATGTTGCTGTCAAGACCGACTGCAATATGCGGTTTGCTCAGGAACTGCTCGAGCGGTCCGTGTATTGCGAATATGAATTTAGTATGGAAACTGCAGATCGCCGTGCGGCCTATTGCAGTCGGTCTTGACTGCAACATGCGGTCCGTCTATGGCCCGCTTAAGGTAGGATTTAGAAATGAGACTGCACGAACTGTGACTCCCTTCGTCAAAATCCAATACGTTTTTCGCATTTGGAAGTCATTATATTTCAAGTTAGGCAACCGCCATGCCAAACAAAACCTGTATCAGGCACAAAACACTGATCACCTACTTGCCTATTAGAAAAAGCTAATTATCACAAAACGATCCAGAAATATTAGGCCCAAACCAAAAAGGTTGTATGTAGCTTTATAACAAATTCAAAGTTTTTTAAATGAAAAATCGAAATTCACATTTTGAATCTTAAAATCATTGCCTAGTGTTGTAATGATTTTAAATTTATTTATTTATTTATAAATCTTGTTACCTAAGTCATATAATATATTATTGCTTTATATTGTGTGCAGGGTGTTTACAACCTTGAGTTTCTATGCCCTAAGCTTAGTATGACTGCCGTATGTCCAACCCAATACGTTATTGCGCATACAAAAGTTAAGACTTACTGTTTCAGAAACGAGACTTAAGAGGTAACTGTGACTGCCTTATGTCAAAATCCTGTATCGAAAGGTCCCTTAGTCTCGACTCTGAATCTTATAGGTATAAATCATACCTGCAATAGGTAAAAAGGAAGCAATAGTTCTTAACTAAAAACAATTAAATTTTGTAGTTTATACAAATTACAATTTAAAATAAAATATATTTAAATAGTTTGTTTTTCTTTTGTACTATATTACTAATGAAAATGTACAATACTATAAGTTAATTCTAGAGTTCTTCATGTGTTTTTGATTTCTTTGAATCACAAGTACATTCAAATTTGGTCTGTGGTACATGTGCCATATTTTCATCCACAGTTATTTCTCCATCTATTCTTTTACTCCATTCCTGTACAAAAAAAATATTCATTAAACAAAAATAGTTTTAAATGGTAAAGATGCTTCTTTAATTTAATACAGTCTGAAAAGTCGTACAACTATGTAAATATGTTTGTCTTTGACTTTTTGGGTTAAATCTCACAGAAAACAATTATAATATGTTGGCTTTCAAAGGATATGCAAAGACTGCTTTAATCCATAATTAACCTTCATATGTAGACATATTGAGTGGACTCAATGTTTGGAAATCAGATAAAACTTACCGAAAACAAGGAAACATGATAACAGATAATATGGTGAGGCAGTAAATGGGTGTTTGCAAATTTTCTACCATTTCTGGAAATTTTGTAAGCTTCAGCATCATTTTCTTGAGCCCAAAGAATTTGTTTCTTCAAATCTGAAAGGTCTCTAGCTACTGGTACATAATGAATCCAAGGTTTCAATTGGCTATAGAAATGTTCATAATATGGTGAATCTTGTTTTAAAACTAATCCACCACCGGCCAAAAGGTAAGGCAGTCTATATGCAGCCACAGTACCATCTATGTTAATTTGATATTTGTACTATAAAAGAATTATAAAAATACATCATTTGTAACAATATATAAATGGCTCAGAATAAAAATGTTTTGAAAAAATTAAAAGATCAAATTTTCTCTTAAAAAATGTGGTTATATTGTGGCTGACATATGATTCATTCTGTCAGATCATTGAACCTAGTATCATCAACATATTTGACCTTAGTTAATATTTAACTGACAACAGTCTTCTTTTTAAGTTTAAAAAATATAGATAACATTTTATGTTCAATTAGCAATAAAAATAAATTACATTTATTACTGGCCCTTTTGCACAATCTTTCCTTCAGATGAAAAAAGCATATGATCTTAAGTTGTAACTCATCCTTAACAAAATATGTTGTTTAATACTTACATCAAAAAACTTAAAGAAAGATATATGGGGCAACTTTGGACCATATTCAGCTTCCTTATCACGAAAGAAAAAAAAGTTTGTGAGTGAAGCATTAAATAAATCTGGATTTGCTCTAGCAATGTCGATCAGCTTTAATCTTTCAGCTCGAGAGTCCCTACCTCTCCAGAAGGCACGTGGCTCACGTTGAGACCATTTCGGGTCAACATTTCCTTGCACAGATAAAATATCTAATGTGACCCTGTAAAGCAACGGTAACAGAACTTAATTTTTTTTAAATTGCAAGCATTATTAAGATAAATGTCCAACAAAAATACAAAATATACCTCCCCATATTTTCTAAGCTTGATTCTGTGATATCATAAGTTGGCATTACTATGTCAATTGAGTCATTTCTTCCACACCATGAAAAAATTGGTAAGTTTTCATCACCCTTTCTAACCAAAGGCCAATCACCCAAGTTTATCACAAGTTCCATATCCGGTAGAACAACTTTCCTTGTAATGGCTAGTAAAATGTTATCAGCAAACATATTAAAACCAATGTGTTTTCCATAACATTCTCTATAAATCTCATTATTTTTTATAACATAGTGACAAAAACTTGTGCTCTCTGGATTATGGTATAATTTTATTATCTTTTTGATTGCATTTCTTATTTTGATCTTATTGTAGGGAATGAGATCATTTTGTATTTGCTCATAGGTGGTAGGGCAGTCATTGTTTAATAACCATATATTTAAGTCTTTTTCGGGGCACGCACACTGATCTGGTAGAATTGTTTCTAAAAAATATAAACCATTAATGTTTGACATAATTTGATTGGAGTTTTTGATAACTTAGATTGTGAAAGAATATCTACAGAAGTAAACTTGAAGAATATTCATTAAATTTCATTAACTAAATAATAGCAAACCTTTTATTACAATAGGCGAATTTTTTATGTGTTTACTTTTGTAATATATATTAATAACCAGTTTTGAACACTCTTCATACACTTTGTATCGTACTATAAATGTTCCATCCTTTCTATCTAGTACATTAGACCATATTCTACAGTGTGATTTTTTAAGAGAATTTCCAGTGATTTCTACTGCTACCTGGTGGCCATACTCACTGGTATACCTAAACGCAAGAAGTAATTAACAGTAAACACAACAATACTAAATGATGACTCTTTAGAAATTATCCTACTTACGATTCCTCATTTAAATGGGTAAAGTTTATAAAAAAGTATCTTGCCGGCAAAACTACTTTGTGAGGTTGTAGACCTGGTCCGTATATAGATATATTTTCAACACATGTAATGTAACATATAGTAATGCTTAAAAATACAATAAATCTAGTTAAAACATAATATGGTAAAAACATGATTACATTGTTCGTACGATTAGTACAAAGCTTTGTAGCTAATGTGATATCTGTGATCACTGATCTGTCTTCTGAAACGGTTTTAGGAAATAGGAATTAAATAGCATTAAGAAAAATAAACAAACGTAAACCACAGAATATTAATTATAAATTTTGAAAGTAATCTATATAAGATTATTGTCAATTTGACAACGCCGGAAAGTACATTGTGGATTGTGGTTATTGTTTTGAAGCACTCTGTTCTCACAAAAATACCAAACAGTGACAGAAAATTGACAGTATTTTTCTTTGAGGGCGGTTTTTTCAAAAATTTTTTTTGAAAAAAAATTTTTTTTTTTGAAAAATTTGTAGGCTTTCGTTTCTCTAGTTTTTAGTTTTCGAACTCTAAAAAAAAAAATTTAGTATGGATGATAAATAGTTATTTTTTATATTCCACATTTAAAATATGAATAAATTTTATTTTAAAATTCGGATCTGTAAAAAATTTATTTTACAGGATTATACTTTAGAAAAAATTGCAATGGTTTTGAAAAAGTATATAATTTTTTTAGAAATCATTAAAGAATATTACTCAAAACGTAAATGATGTAAACTTCTTACATGAAACTAAATATTTTACTGTTAATTTAGCTTGTTAAAACCTTATATTCTTTAAAGGTTTTCTATTATCTTCAATAAAAAAAGTTCAAGTGAAATAATTTGATGATTAAAAAAGGTAAAAATTTTCCAATTTATTTTTCATATTATATCATTAATGAGGTTGCTAATCAATCTATTCAACATTTTTTCAACACTGACTTAGCGCACGGTGCTGATGTATTTGAAAACTCTTTCCCCTTCCCCTTTCCCCCCCCCTTTTTGCGGGTTTGGCCCGCCCCCCGCCCCCCACCTCCCTTTTGGCCCCCCCCCCCTTTTTGTTTTTTTTCCCTTCCTTTTCCCTTTCCTACACCCCCCCCCCCCCCCCCCCCCCCCCATATAAAATTTTTTTTTTTTTTTTTTTTTTTTTTTTTTTTTTTCCTTTTTATTACTCTAAAATCTTAACTTAAAATATATTTTTCACAAGGAGGGCTATTGGGTCATATCAATGGCTACTTCTAATTTATACTTGCTGTGTAAAGCTATGAATAATTTAAGGTTAAGATTTATATTTACTCCTACTTTAATTTAATACAACTTTGTTGTTACTTCATTGATTTTTTTATCTTAACTTATAAATTAAACATGGCATTACATTTATATTAACCTTTTACTTGATTTGCAGGGTCAATCATATAGTGAAAAGGACTGGCCATTATACAACTTTAAGAAAACCGAAATATCGTCCCCCATACTGGTTCATGCCTAAAGAGAGAGTAGTGAGTACTTAAAAATTATTATGCATCACTAAAAGAATAAAAAAGTGTATTTACCATTATAACCTATGAAAGATGTTTCATGTATAATTCCTTACTAAATCATAAACAGGAAAGTTTTTTCAATGAAATTATGATTGTAAACTCTGGCTTATTAAAATAAAGTTAATATTATCCAGGTGAGTGAAGACATGTTGACACAAGAAAACAGGGATTTTCTTGAAGAAGTAAAACAAGATAAACAAGTTTTGCAGAATCAAATAGAATCTCCTTTGGCAAATTTAGAAATACCACAGGCAACTGAATGGACACCATTTACAAGACGAGTTGGATTAATTGCACGAAAAATAGGAAATTATCCTCTTTGGACTAAGGATGGTAAAAAGTTCCAAACAACTCTACTACAGGTATTGACACTACTACTAAAATGTTCCCTTATTTTTTTATTTATAAGCATAAATAACCAGTTTTATTAATTATAGGTGGTAGACAATCATGTTATTAAATATATCCCTCCTGAAGAGTTTAACCCAATGAAATCAGATAAAATGAAAAAAGAGCCCTGGAAAGAAAAACGAACTCTGGGTTGCCTATTGGTAGGATCTGAAACCATAGATCCCAGCACTGTCACTAAAGACTATTGTGGAATGTTCACTAATGTCGGAATGTTGCCTAAGAGACACCTTTGCCGTTTTATGGTATCACCACATGCTCAATTACCTACAGGGACACCATTGTATGCTACACATTTTAGAGTTGGTGACTGTGTAGATATCCGTGCCAAAACGTAATTATTAATTAATAGATTATTATACCTTACTAGTATAGGAAATCCCATACAGAAACTTTATTACTGATGCAGAAATATTTTGTCTTGTTTTGTTTTCTGAATCAGGCACGTAGATAAACACTTTTTGTATACTTTAAAATTTTATCAAATAGTTTCTTTACAAATAGATACTAATGTTTATAAAATGTATGTAGTCTACTCATTTGTAGAAAAACTGACAGATGTAACCTTTTATAATATCTTCTTAAAATGTACTAGTGTTTTTCAAGGGTAAGCAAATGGAAAGCTAACCTTAGCTTTGCATTGCTTGCGGGCCCAAAAGCAGCAGGCATACTTATTGAAATCTCTTTTAGTATTGACCGAGGATTTCAAGGAGTTGTAAAAAGATGGGGTTTCAAGGGAATGCCTGCATCTCATGGTGTAACTAAAACACATAGAAGACCAGGAAATATTGGTGCAGGTGGTGAAAAAGCTAGAGTTTGGCCTGGTACTAAAATGCCTGGACATATGGGAAACAGGTGAATTATACATGCCATAAAAAGTAAAGTCAGTGTAGCACATTAGAGTTTTGCAGTAATAAGTGTTAAATATTTAAATATATAACAATATTTTAGTTTAAAAATTAATTAAGACCACAATATGTACCTTTCTGATAAGCTTTTTAGCTAAGCTTTCAAGGCTGTTTTGGAAATGTGTTTAGACAATATCTAGTATAGGACATAAAAATCAGAGTGATGTCATGCACATGGTACATCAAAGGTTTTACATTTGTTAAAATAAAATAAAACTTTTTTCAGTTGGAGGATTATCAGAGGTGTAAAGGTCCTACGTGTAAATACAGAACACAATGTTTTATGGATGTTGGGAGTAGCAATACCAGGGGAAACAGGTGCAATGTGTTATTTGTATGACACAGTATTGCCATTAAAGAAACTTAAAACACCACCGCCATTTCCAACAAACATGCATATTGATGGTTTGCCATTGGAATATTATGATGAATCAATTCATTCTTTTGAACAACCTACTATTAAATTTGAGGAGGCATAAACCCTAACAGTAGAATATTAGAATTGTGTAAATACTTAATAAACATATAAATACTAAACAGTTTAATTTCTTTTACAATACAAAATACCAAGTTAAATCATTATTCAAATTTTCAATTACGATAAATTTTAATAGTGTTAATTAAATGCTAACAATAAGTAAAAGATGTGAAGAGTGCTTCTTAATAAAATTTGTATCAAAACAAAATCCTAATCAGGATAATAGGTTTTTAGAAAAACAAACACCAACTTTAATTCATAAAATGTATTAATTTTTGTACATAAACACTATTTAGGATGATTCAGAACCTATAAATAGAATTACTACAAGTAAAACCTTATTATAAAACTAATTGTACCTAAGTTAAGTCGTACTACTACAAAATCATTCACAAATAAACCACACATAACACTATAGGTACCTAAAGTTAATCATAATTCATAACATTACGTACTAAAACTAGAACAGTACAATTATAAATACTTACTGTTGGTTAGGGGGTTGGAAGCTGTAACCTGGATATGGTTGGGCTCCTGCAGGTGGGGGTGCTCCGGGAGCTGGAGCTCTGGCATAAGGATAAGGCGAGGGGGGATACTGGCTTGGAGGATAGCCTTGCTGATAAGCATGAGGAGGATAACCTGCTGCTGCTGGAGGATAGTTTTGTGGATTTTGAGGATATGATGATTGCGGGAGCGGAGCTGTAGAAACTGGTGGAGCAGGACTTCCTGGCTGAGAAGAAGGATTTGAATATGGAGGTTGGCTTGCAGGCGGATAAGGTGATGGTTGTCCAGATGGAGGGTATTGTTGACCAGGAGGAGGTCCAGATTGTGGCGGCACACCTGATGGAGCTGGGGCTGTTGATGGTGGATTGTTGCCATGTTGGGAACTTGAATTAAAGGTTGGTGATTGGGCTGAAGGTGAGCCATACCCAGAACTAGGAGGATTTTGTGAAGTATAACCACTAGGGGGTGGCTGAGGTGATCTATTTGGCTGAGAGACAGGAGTTGAACCATACCCTGTAGTTGGTGTTGTATTTTGAAAAGATTGAGATTGATATGGTTGCGGTTGAGATGTAGTAGCATTATATGAGCTTACACCAACATTTGGATAGTTGGGACCAGACTGTGGTGGTGGATATGCTGAATTACCTGTATAATTTGGTTGACTAGGTCCTCTCACTGGGTAGGGAGAACCAGCTGCAGGAGGATTACCTGGAGGTGGTGCATAAGGTTGCTGTCCAGAAGATGGTGGGTAACCAGGTCCTGGATGTGTTGCTGGAGGATAGTTATTTGGGGCTGTAGTGATCGGTGGTCCATATGTAGAATTTGGAGGATATCCCTGAGGTTGTTGTCCCGGATTAGGCGGACCATATCCTTGTGCTGGTGGACCATATCCACCTTGTGGTGGATAAGCCCCTTGATATTGTCCTTGATACTGATTTTGTGGGTAAGGTCTTTGCCCATATGATTGAGTTGGTCTTGTTGGAGCTGTAGATACTCCAGAGGGTGGCCGGTACTGCTGCTGTGGGGAACCAGGACCTTCACCACCACTGACTGGAGGATTAACTCCACCTTGGGGTACATTCCCCGTTTGAGCAAGTTGATGCGGAGGCTAAAAATAAATGGGTAAGATGCCGCTGTATAAATTGCATATTGATCATCTTTGTTAAATAATGAAATGTGGTCAATACAATATTGTGATTAATGAGTTATATTTGATATTGTCAATTAAAGTCATGTATTCACTGAGAAACAAATGTTTTTTATAAGCACTTTCAGAAATTAAACTTTTGTGTTTATGAAATTATTTTGAAATACATCAGTATTTTGTTACAATAGTTTCATAAATTGTCTAATGAAAATAAATTACATATCAAATCCAACAACACTTTCTTTGGGCAACATATTTGACATGTGGTTACATAGTCCCTAAAAAATTGTTTCTAAACATCTACATGTTGTTTCAGAAATATATCTAAATCATGGTTCACATTGAATATAATATGGCTTTTGTTTTGTTAACACATAATAAACATAAAGATGCTTACCGGTAAAATTTGTTGAATATTTTGATTAGCGTCCGCCACGGAAGCTAAGTAAACTAGATTCCTGTGTAATACTTGTTGATATTGGTGGCATTCTACCAGCTGACCCTTTGCTTGATACTCTTGTATGGTTTGTATCAGATGAGCATTTTCATCTAACATTTTCTGAATCTGTGCCGGGCTTAAGGGCGGACGATTACCGCGCGGTGCAAAAGCTACAGACATTTTATGCTCTAGAGTCTAGATGGAATCTTACCCCTTCGTAACTAGGAAGAATCGGATATTTTGTTCAAAAAGAAATTTTACAAGCAAAATGTCCAAATTCCTTAGTTACTTAAAAAATCACTTATAAGAAAGAGTCTTTGGTATATTAAATCGTATAAAATTATTTGTTTCTCAAAGAAACTGGATCGTTCTTAGTTGTATTTAACGAGATCTAAAGCTTATGAAAATTTACGAAAGTACTGATTCTGGTTCATGACTGAGTGAGGCGGGGGCAGGGGCAGACGCAGGCCGCAAGTCGCAACTTTAAGGCACAGACTAGAGAGAATAGTCGCGATTCATGCCATCACAGACTAGTTCCATAGAAAGGTAACTAATCGTATTGGTAGGTTATCTAAAGCTGGTGGCTTCAACACATTTACACTTTGTGCTTGTGTAGTGTTTGTGAATAAGCGCGAGGCGTTGTCAAACTGAAAATGCATCATAAAAAGACTGTCCGTCTCTCTCGCGCTCGGTCAAGCTTATGAGTATAAAAGAGACAGTTATTGTTTTGTGCTACTGTTTATGTTGATCTTTACTGTACATGTTGATCTTTTTTCTCATTATTATTTTGTCTGTGATTGTTTACTTATTTGATTGGAGGTTAGAATACTTTGAAAAAAAATGTCTTGTGAAATATATCACGAGATTGTTCTGTTAATGTAAACATTAACAGGACAATCTCGTGAAATGGTGTACAATATTTTTAATTATTTTAAGCATCTTATAAACATTTTATCATTTGACATCAGATGCGATTGGGGTTTCTAAGAGGAGTATTGAAAGAATTGTTAGTGAAGTAAAAGTGAAGTGTGTTGAGCTAGATGGAGCTTATGTCGAAAAATGAAAAATTATTTACACTAACTACTCTTTTACGTTCTTGGTCGGGCTTAGAACTTTTGGATCCTCGTATGCACATAATATTTATATGTATTTGACACATTTTTATTTATTTACAACCCACCCAACCTTACTAAAACCAGAGTAGACTAAAATATATAGCTAGGCAAAAAAGACATATTTTTAAACATTCTGTATAGTGAAATTGCATTAGTGTGAGTACTGTAAACGACCTATAAGGCAATTTAATTCAATGAATATAAAAGTTACAACACCTATAACTTATTAACTTATTGCTGGTAAAAACATTTTACTTAGTAATATTTTAAATAATCTAGTGTATTTATTTCATAATACTTACCTACTTCATGTAGTGCGTTTTCCAATTACAGCACTAGAGCGCATTATGCGGCATAATGCTCAACGTTGAGTGTTCCTACTACAGCAACGCTTCGCACAATTGAGCACTCTCGCGTGCTTCTCGCAAACAATACCAACACAGTGGCAGAAAATTGACCAGTGTTTTTCTTTAAGTTGGCATTTATCGAAATTTTCGTTAGTAAATATTATTTATTGTTGAAAAATTTGTAAGGCTTTCGTTTGTTCGTAGATTTTGAAAATAATTAAAGTTATTTCAAACTGCTAAAAAAGGGTCCGTGTACTTATGTACGCGCGTAAGAATTATACTTCTTTGGCAATATTAAAAATAGTTTGGCTTTGTTCCACCTCAGTTTTGATGTTTCACAGCGATAAGATGAAAACTCTTTTTTGTACTTATTCAATTTAGTGCAGTTACACTGATTCATCAATTGTTTTTGTCTCTTTTTCCTTATATTTGCTAGATAAAATCAGAAAAATTACATGTTTTGATTAAACAATGTGGTTAATTTTTTTATCAAAACATTACTCGATAATAATAATAATACATACGGATAGTTAACCTAATTGTATTGAAGCACTTAGGAAGGTTGATGAGCACAGTTTTTCACAAATATTAATTAGTATTGGTTTAAATATTCAATTTAAATCACTTCTGATTATAATTCAAAAAGCATCGCTAAATTTCTTTGAAAAAATAATTAAAACTCCTTTATTTGTTTAAAGGTAAATGACAAATGTCATTATGGTCATTCAAAATTGTTGGCATACGAACTTCACGCATATTCTATTTCTTTTTACTTGTAGATTGTCTTATCTTAATTTTTACGATGCGCGCGCACCGTGACACAAAATTAGGAGTGTGATTATAAGCGTGCGCGAGCGAGATAGGAATAAGACAATCTACAAGTAAAAAAAAATAGAATATGCGTGAAGTTCGTATCCAAGAATTTTGAATGACCATAATGACATTTGTCATTTACCTTTTAAACAAATAAAGGAGTTTTAATTATTTTTTCAAAGAAATTTAGCAATGCTTTTTGAATTATATATAATCAGAAGTGATTTAAATTGAATATTTAAACCAATACTAATTAATATTTGTGAAAAACCGCCCCCCATCAACCTTCCTAAGTGCTTCATTACAATTGAGGTTAACTATCAGTTTGTATTATTATTATCGAGTAATGTTTTGATAAAAAAATTACCATATTGTTTAATCAAAACATGTAATTTTTCTCTAGCAAATATAAGGACAAGAGACAAAAACAATTGATGAATCAGTGTAAGTGCACTAAATTGAATACAAAAAAAGAGTTGTCATCTTATCGCTGTGAAACATCAAAAACTGGAGGTGGAACAAAGCCAAACTATTCTTAATAATGCCAAAGAAGTATATACCTCTCCTCACGCGCGATACATACCAGCTACCCCACCCTTTTTTTTTATATTCCACATTTAAAATATGAATACAATTTTATTTTAAAATTCGGATCTGTAAACAAATTTATTTTACAGGATTATACTTTAGAAAAAATTGCAATGGTTTTGAAAAAGTATATAATTTTTTTAGAAATCATTTAAAAATATTACTCAAAACGTAAATGATGTAAACTTCTTACATGAAACCAAATATTTTACTGTTAATTTAGCTTGTTAAAACCTTATATTCTTTAAAGGTTTGCTATTATTTCAATAAAAAAATGTTAATGAATTGGAAATTAATAATTAAAATAATTAATAATTGGAAAACTCACTATAAAGGCAGATACTTTAAAGTATACATCTGCGCCTTTTCTATGGTCGTTACATAAAGTATGGTTGACACCATTGAGTAAATAATATATAAGATAATATAATAATGGGTGTAGAAACCACTAAATTTACTTATCTGCCCACTAAATTGATAACAAATAATAGTGAAAATGGCAAACTAATATCATTGCTATTTGCTACGCGTCATTTAATTTATTTTTTTCATATTAGGGTTGGGCTGATTCCAGTACGTCAAAAATTAGTCGATAGACCGAGTTCGCCCGGAGGCGGAGTCTCCTTTTACTGAAATCTAACTCTAATATCCCTTAATGTCGAACAATAATGCTGCAACAGTGTGCGTTTTCCAATTACAGCACTAGAGCGCATTATGCGGCATAATCCTCAACGTTGAATGTTCCAACTACAGCAACGCTTCGCACACTTCACTTTCCAATTAAGCTTCAGCATTATGTGGCACTGTGCGGCACTGAGTTGCATTATGCTCTGTAATTGGAAAACGCAGGTAATAATTAAAAATGCAGGTTTTCTTAAACAGAAAATTATTTTTGTGAGACTTAATATATAAATTAGTCCAATTGCGCTGTGTGCATACTTAATTGATTGCCACCATGGTGTTTTTTGATAGATGAATTGTAGTGGCGATAATAATTTGTGTTTTTATCATAAGTATATTAGTTTTTACTTCAATCTAAACCGAAAAAAATAAATATGTTATAGTCTGGCTAATGAAAGAAGAAAACGAAAAAGCGTGGCAAATTTAAAAAAAAATTAGTATGGTATCCCTAAAAGTTTGATATATCTTGTGGATTAAACTTACTTGATACTTGATTTTATTATTAATTTTTACATTGCTTTTAACTGTATTTCTATGAAATTAAATACTATACATATTTAGACTTTTACTATTGATACTTAAAATGACTAGCATTGCATGGAAAACTAAAATTATATTTATTATAAAACACAACTTTATTCGGAATAATCAAATCCTGCGAAAGAAACGAAATATTCTATTAAATAAAACAAAGTTTAGGCTATTATACCTGTTAAAAATTCGGAAAAAATAAGTAATAGAAATAAAAATGAGTAATTGCATCAAGTATCAAGACTATAAATCATACTAACCTAAGAAATTCAATGACATTGTGTTGCCATCCGAAAGTTTTCAAATAATTCAATTATCTTCTTTCATTAGCCAGACTCTATCAGTTTATGTCACAAAAAAGATTTGGCTGTCAATAATTATAATACATTAACGTACACATAATATTTAATCGTTGTATTTAAAAATTAAATAAATATTTTCTATATTTTGTTTCTATTGATAAAAAAAGTTGAAAAAGTACAATATTACTCAAAAGAAAACTTTTGCCAACTTACGTAAAATAAAAGATGACAAACATCATTTTAACTAAGTTTAACGCATTAGGATGCCATAAGAAAATAAAGGATCAACATATTCCTTCGTTTGCTGATTTAACGTGGTTTCTACGCTTTAGTTCTTTCTCGGCTCCGTTCATATTAAGATTTTAATCTATGGTCTAACCTTACAACATTCTTGTATTAAAAAAAAAAAACATTCTTGTATTATTTAATTAGTCTGTGGTTAAAACTTTCAAAATAAATCACATCAAATTTTGCTATTTCATTGTTGGAAATTGGAAAACTAAAAAGTTACTGAAGTTTATTTTAAACAGTATAAAGTTATATTAAAATATGGCATCAGTTTTAGTTCCCGAACTACCTATACCTGGTTTTTCTTTTGAAAACTGCCAACGGTAAGTAAAATCTCACGTTTGACTGGCGATTTATAAAGTTTTTCAGAAACACAGACCTAATTTATCAATTACTTACAGAAATGCTTTTCTTGAACATAAAGGCTTTCCTGCTCCTAAAGCGACTAAGACCGGCACAACTATCGTTGGGATAATTTACGCAGATGGTGTCATCCTCGGGGCTGACACACGAGCTACTGAGAATACCGTAGTTTCAGACAAGAACTGCGAAAAAATTCATTATCTTGCGGCAAACATGTACTGTTGTGGGGCCGGTACAGCTGCTGATACAGAGATGACCACGCAGTCGGTTTCTTCTCAATTAGAGCTACAACGTTTACACACGGGTCGCGTTGTGCCCGTTGAAACTGCATCAACATTGCTCAAGCGAATGCTATTCCGTTACCAAGGTCATATTGGAGCTGCTTTAGTGCTAGGTGGAGTAGATCGTACTGGGCCTCATATCTACTGTATTTACCCCCATGGATCCGTTGATAAGTTGCCTTATGCTACCATGGGTAAGTTTTAATTTCTAAAATAGGATAGACAGATATGTAAGTTAAAAGAAAAGATATAAACAATGAACAAAGCAAATTTTCATCATGCTTCCATCTACAAAAAAAATATTTATAATTAGATCAATTATTTATATGTAAACATTTCTTTGAAGGTTCTGGATCTCTAGCAGCAATGGCTGTTTTTGAGTCTCGTTGGAAACCAAACATGTCTGAGGAAGAAGGCAAGCAACTTGTAAGAGATGCTATAGCTGCTGGTATTTTTAATGATTTGGGTTCAGGGTCAAATGTTGATCTCTGTGTAATCCGGAGTTCTGGTCCAGCCCAATATCTACGAACATATGAAGAGGCCAATGTTAAGGTAAATATGAAGATAAATTTACCACATATATGACTTAAAGAAAAGAGTGTACCCATAAAAGGCTGGCAACAGACTTGCAAGCAGTGCTAGTGACCATGGACAGCATTGTCATTCAACATTAGTATTAGGGATGTGACATTCTTCATAAAAAATTGATTTTTTATTAATCAATTATTTTTTTAGCATGAATAATCAATTAATAAATAATCGATTTTTCTTAAAAAAATAATCGATTTTATATTAATCGATTTTTTCCTTTTTTTTAAATTAATTTCAAAATAAACACCCTAAATATTTTATTTTTCATGGTTTTTTAAATTAAAAATAAACAATAGAAATTATAAACACAAATTAACGTTTAAGAATAATCAAAATCGAAATTAACTTAATCTCGTTTTGATGGATTTTGATAAATGCTGAGTGTATTCCTTTTCAGTAGCACATTGCTGTATTTTTGTTGTCTTTTTAATTGTATGTCGTCTTGTGCTGCTGAATAAATTTATTTTACTTTTAAATTATAGAGTTCCATTCAAACTTGAGTTTTTGTAAAATAAACTACTTTTATCATACTTTTGATGTTTTCCAAAAAAAACATCAATGTATCGAGTATATCAATACATCTTCAAAGAATCGGATTCAATGTATCACATTGTAAACATCGTTGTGTATCGAATATCCCTAATAGTTCGAGGTCCGGGTTATAAAAGACCAGACATAATGTCGGGAAGTGGTAGATAAAAAATCGATTATGATTGATTTTCAATTATAAAAATAATCGATTATTTTTTCACATCTCTAATTAGTATTCATATTGTTTATTTTGCTGTATAAAAATGAAAGCTTTTAATAAATTTAACCAAATCCCTATTTCAAAAAATGTTATCAGTATATGTTTTCCAATTTACTTCAGCATTTCTACTATTCAAGCAACTACCAGTTGCATGATTCTCACGGAATTATTTATTAAAATTACAGGGAAAGAAGCAAGGCTCTTACAGGTATGCACTAGGCACCACAGCAGTATTGAAAACAAAGGTTATACCTCTAGAAGTTGAGTCAGTATCAGTGCATCAAGTACAACCTATGGAAGTTGAACCATCTTGCTAAATCATATTACTTTTAATAAAATTGTAACAATTTTTTTCTGTTTCACTCTTAATGTATTTCATATGTCCAATTTATTTTACACAGAGATTCACGAAAGGTAAATAAAACAGATACAGTATGTATAAAAAAATATAATATGTATGTACTACAGAATTCTCTATAAAAAATGTTACACTGAGATTCTAAGATTTCATTAAATAACTAATTTACATACAACCTCATGGAAAATAATAAGAGTTTATTCCCTTGTTCATAAAAAAATATAATTTAAAATAAAAAGTTATATAAAATATACTCTAATGGACGGATTTACAACATAGCAGTCTTAAATGTTAATCTAATTCTTTTTATGTAAAATAAAATCCCATGTATCTTTCCATCTGAGATTCATAAGATCAGTTTCAGTTAAATCAGTGTTACCATAACTAAGAACACTGAATTTCTTAAAAGTGAGTATTACATATGCAAGAAATACGACAACGAAAAATATAAAAACATGAATTAACGATTTTGTTTTTTCTCGAATGTGAAGGAAGAAAAATAGATGATCTATTACAAACGATAGGAGAAGAATTTTGAAGATATAAGCTGGTAAATAGTGGTGTAAAAAAAGTGTTCGATCCATGAAGAAAAATGGTAAATAATGTAGCCAATATCCTAAAAAGAGGATGTAACCAGCGTCATAGAACTTTTGTGAGGCGCGAGGCGGTAAATCGTTAATGTTTCTTCTTGTACGTATAGCATAAAGGGCAAGAAACCCTCCATACATTAATACGGATAGTGTACCAGCGTACCACGTCACTAGGTTGCCGATTAGGTGTACCTGAGCCTGTAAAACACCAAATCACTTGCATTGTAAGAAACTTTTTATTGTTTTCGAAGAACTACGGATATTGAAAAAGCTATATCTAAATTGTGAAAAATAAAAACACCGGGATCGCTATTGCAAGTTACAGAGAACCGGCGCCGTAAGAATTTTGGAGGAATTCAAACCCAGCGGTGCACGCACCACTGGTTAGAATTACTATGTGGGAAACAACACACATACGTGAGGAAACCAGCATTATATAAGAATAATCACTGAAGCAATGTTACCCAATAGGAAAGTATTAAGGAAAAAAAATCTTTGAAACCACTAATGCAAAACAAATAGGGTATTTTCATATTTGAGAGGTGAACGTGTTATTACTTACAAGGGATTTCTACGAGGCAACTATATACATACTTACATTAGACTGAGGTGAAAGCCAATAAGCAATAGACCGTTGGAGCAAGGGCCAATCTTGGGGCTCACTTGCGAACATATGACCTTGTGGCGCGTCACTAGAATGCGACCACATTTTGTACTGAAGCTCCAAAAATTTAGCCCAAAATGATAGTCTTGTAGCCGCTGTTGGTATCATTTCAGCGGTAACTAGTTCGCGTTCACGCTCTTTTTTGTCCTCCGCTATAAAGAAAACTAGGTTTAAACAAATTTCGATAAAATTTTCTTTGGTAAAATTTTGGCATTCACCGCCTTATATTATGTAAAATGGTGGGACCGGGTTTATATTTTAAACACTGGATTACCTATAAACGCCTAAAGTAATAGTTAATTATATTACTTACATTTAAATATAAAGTTTTCTTTAGAATCACAATATAATAATTCAGTTATGTACTAGGAGACACAAAGACATTTAATTCTGATGTTCGAAAATGAAAGGGTCAGAATATGGTATAGGTCGGTTATCGAAAGCTGGCGCGTTCACAGTACTCACACTAATGCAATTTCACTATACAGTATATTTAAAAATATGACTTTTTTGCCAAGCTATATATTTTAGTCTACTCTGGTTTTAGTAAGGTTGGGTGGGTTGTAAATAAATAAAAATGTGTCAAATACATATAAATATTATGTGCATACGAGGGTGGATCCAAAAGTTCTAAGCCCGACCAAGAACGTAAAAGAGTAGTTTGTGTAAATAATTTTTCATTTTTCGACATAAGCTCCATCTAGCTCAACACACTTCACTTTTACTTCACTAACTATTCTTTCAATACTCCTCTTAGAAACCCCAGTCGCATCTGATGTCAAATGAAATATAACATTTTTTCATTAAACTGTTATTATTAAGATGCTTAAAATAATTAAAAACATTGTGCACTATTTCACGAGATTGCCCTGGTAATGTTTGAAAAAAGATCAACATAAACAGTAGCAAAAGCAAAACAATAACTGTCTCTTTTATACTCATAAGCTTGACCGAGCGCGAGAGAGACGGACAGTCTTTTCATGGTGTATTTGTGATTGAGTTTCAGTTTGACATCACGCCTCGCGCTTATTCACAGACACTACACAAGCACAAAGTGTAAATGTGTTGAAGCCGCCAGCTTTAGATAACATACCTATAATATTGTTTGTGACAGTTAGGTTTTATAATTTTATTTCTTTACATACATTTGGAATACCGATGCTCCTCAACATTCCACACCGTATCCTGGTGCGTGACCACCTTATCAGCGACCACCTCATGCTGATGGAATCCCCATGGGGGTAACTGCCTTCCGCTATATCGGAGAGCAGACCCCGAGTTCATGTGGATCAGCCGCACAAGTGACCTGATGCTGTCCCAAGTGTCTCTATCCGTTTCCCGGTTAACAATCTCCACCCGCCATAAATTCTGTGCTGACATCGATATATTGTAATCGATGTAGCAAGATACTTCCTAAAATTTGAAAAAAAAAATGGTGTATTTTTAAGCATATCTCCTCCGTCTGAGGACATTGGTGATAAAGATTTTCGAACGAAATTTCAATAGAATGACACGTCATATAATAATTAGCTTCGTAGTATCTTTATGCTGTTTTTTTTATTAGTATAAAACAGAGTTTTTTTAAATTCAAATTATAGTTACTATTATTGTAGACTGTTAAGTGGTTGTATAAAAAAAGGGTTCATTATAAAACACTATAATATGTTTTTGTTCTATCATGGATAATTTTTCAATAATGTTGCAGATCAGCCTTCTCGAATAAAATCGATTCCAGTGTTACTCCTGCGTTTGCATTCACCACTAAGAGGCGGCATAGCTTTGCAATATAGGAGGCACACAATTATACATTATGAGCCTCTGCCATTTTCTTGTTAATTCAAAATTGTTTCGACGTTAAGCAACTTTTCGATAGTTTGACCTATATGTGATATTGTTCAAATTGGATTTATATCTAAGTAAAGTGATGTATTTAGTCTTGCAAGCACGTGTGCTAAATTTCGTAATCTTTTAAACTATATTAAATCGTTCCAACCTAGGAAATCTCAGAGGAATCAAAATTTCATCAAAGCTTTAAGATTTTTAAAATATCATCCATACCTTCTAGAGGAGACATGTATATTTAATTGAAAGGTATTTGAAGTCGGTTTAATCTTTTTAAAGTGCTGTGCTTCTTACTAACGCAAAGCAATAACAGCGACACCAAGGTTCTAGAGTCAAAGCCTAAATGAATCATAAAGGATACATAGTGATTTATATTGGTCATTATCCTCTATTGGTCCTATTTGAACATTTATCAGTAAAGCAGCTTAATTGCCCCATGGAGCTACGCGCGGGCCAACTTCTTACCTGTGATTGAGGCGAGACGGGCGCAGCGACGTCATGCGAGTTCAACGCTCTCGTAGTCAACCCATGTACCAATTGCACCACGTCCCCATGACGAATAGCATCCGGTGGGTAAGAGACAGTTAGAGACGCTTCATCAGGTCTCTTTACTATCCACCAATTGTTGACATCCTTGAAACTGTAGCAGGTGACTTGCTGCTGATGAGAGGAGCCACGGCCGTCCGTGTATTTTACTGGGTATACATGTGCGTGCGAGTGGAGCCAACATGTTCGGCCGTGAGAGTGTCTGAAAGACATAAGCGTATATAGAAGGCTGATTCGTTTCTACCCAGAATGGTATAGAGCCCACCCCAGGGTGTTGAATTATAAGTTCGGAATTCTTGGCTGGATACTTAAGAATGTAATTTTCAGGAAGAGAGCTGAAGGTTAAGAATAAATTCTGAAAAAAGCCGTTTTTCGTAAAAGTATTTATTCATATACGTGACAAAGCATGTGTGCTTAAAAATACGCAATACATTAGAAATTCTACATATGTATCGATAACATTAGAAAAGTATACCGGATCAAGTAACGTAACAAAGCACCGAAAGCATAAAATTTAAGTAAATATTGCGATAATACGTGTCAAAAACATTTACATAGATATTATGTTTCTGACATGTTGTAAATATTTTTTTAAATAGAAACGAAAAAAATAGGGAACAAATGGGCAGCGGTTCAACTGATGTGAAGTGATACAAGAGGGTTTTCGAGTACGATGCCAGCCTTTCGCAACAGGTATAAAAATACTAGAACGGGCGTACCACCACTAAGAGAAATAAGTCGTTTTATAAAAGATTAGGATTTTTATATCTGGGGACAATCAATTATTAGTAAAATATTATGACGTTCTTAATAAACCTAGTGGAGATTTAATTATCTAAATCAAATATTCATTATAACATTTACCTTAATGTGATCTGAGATCCATGAGCAACATGTAATGGTTGTCCTTTAGTAATACTTGCAAGGCCACCCTGAAGCGATGCCTGAAATGCACTGGTCATCACACTATCATGTGGCCCAGCCTTTGGAAGTAAAGCTAAGTGGATATAAAACACTCCTAAATACACACTTAATGGTATAACTATTAATATAGTTAGCCTCCATATAATAGAAAAAGTCAGACGTAATGTTGATTGAACTTCACTAATACGTCTCCACATTTGTTGACCCACTAAGAAGAATGCTAAGAAATATGTGCATAATCCTGAGTACTTTACTCTGAAAAACAATTGAGTATTAGTATGAATGAAAGGTGCAAAATATAAATGTTTATTACTCAATTATACATTTAATTTATAAAAAAGCAATTTCAACAGCTTATCCATTTTCTTTATAATATAGATGTTTGAAAATACTTACGAGAAGCAGCATCCTACAGATATAGCTCCAAAGCAAAGCCATAACACAGATGAAATACCAATTTTACGATTGCTTTTAATTATGCAAAGTATTCCGTAAATGCCAAATAAAATTTGTATACTTTCCAAGAGCATAAACCTGGACTGTGTTAACAAACTATTTTCTGAAACAAAAATATAAACCAAATTAAACAGTTTTGTGATAATTATAGGCAATTATTTTTTCCTATCATTTAAATACACATGTAGGTACCTACAGTAAAATTACAATAAAATTAAAATATTTAAATAATAAGTAGCCAATAGATAATGGTTGACTGTAAGGAGAAAAATAAATTAAATAACGTAAGCGCAAGAAGGGCAAACCTACATAAGATATATAGTTACTTAGATATATAAAGAATAAAAAAAACAATAAAAACATATGTTGACAATGAAAAAGGGCACCTGAATAATTTCAGTTAGTACGAAAGTTGGCTTACGATGCGGACAGGTAATGCTTAAGCTATATATATATATATATATATTATATGCATATGGAAGATTCTCTATCTTAGGAAAGGAACAGGAAGAATTCCATACCCTCACTGCGGAGACCGTAAAGCATTAGGCAAGAAAGGAAGAGTTACGTTAGAATTTTAAGTTGTTTGTTGTCCATGCCTACGCGAATGTCATCAGCAACCCTGACCAGCGCGGTAGTCGTGCTATGACCAGGACAATACCCAGACTGAAGTGGAGAAATTTTTGTTTAGAAATTCATTTAGTTGCTCATGTAAAAGTGTTATATATATAGAAATGGCAGAATCAAGATGAGTTGAAAATCGTTTTTTTTGGAATGGGGATCATATCAATAAACATCCAGCAGTAGTTTGTATACGAAATATATTAAAACTCACCAAATAACACCAATAAAGCTGCAAGTATAGCTGTCCATTGATAAAAACATATCTCTATCATAAACTGATATGAAACAGCCACCAAAAGAGCTCCACTTATAGCAGGTACTATTCTTAAAGCTGTGACAGGCACATTGTCAGCATATGGTGATCCTATCCGATCAAATGTAAAGTTTCCATCATAGCCAGCTATCTTACTGGCCATGTAAAGAAGCTCTTTTCCTAATGGTGGATGAGCATCAAAGAAAAACACACCTTTTGTATATAAAGATACATATCGACCATAGTGTAATTCATCAAAACTGAAACAATGATTGAAAATCTTTATTTTTTATCAAATCCTATGACTTATCCTATCCATATCAAACAATAAAATTCTCCTTTACATACTTATAATGATATGGAATAAAAAAAATAAGTATATAATGCAGTTTCATCAAAATTTTGTTGTTTAAAAACTGTTATCTCCTAAGATACTATAAAAATTACAGTTATTTAAAATATAATATTTTAGATACAAATAAGATTAGATCAGACAATTAAAACCTTCACAAATAATGCATTACTTGACTAGATAATTTATTACCATAAAAATTGCTAGTGTGTGTTTGTGGTCAACAAAAGATGCTGCCATGGATTTTTTTACTTATCAATTATGGTCTGTTTCTATTGGTAGTAGTGTGATATATTTAGGCTTACTCGATTAATAATATAACTAAGATAAATTTAATTTTCAATTTGAAACAGTAGTTTCTAGATTACCACGTTTTACCATAAGACAAATTTGATAGATAAGTAGATAAAACAATGTTTTAATATGTTATATGTATATAGTTAAATAAAAAGAAACTTACACTATATAATGAGGGTTGTCTAAATTGTACAGTCTAGTGCAAAGACCCAAACTTAAAAGCATAAGAAAAATTATATCGATCTCAAATTTTATAGAAAATTGCTTTTTTAATACACCATCTTCTTTAGATTCTATTAAAACTTCTTTTTGTTCCTGACAACCTTTATCTGCTGGTGCTCCGTCACCCTGAGATAAAAAATAAACTTTTATTTCTTTAATGAAAACAGGAACAACCACATAACAGCTAAATTTTATAACTTTGATAGAATTTATATCTATTTAATATTTGGGGCCTTTAAAATTATTCTACAACCACAATTAATTTCTTAAATAGGTCAAAATTAGCAGTAGATCCAATGAAAATTCTCAATGATTACAAAAACTTAAGTTTGTTTACAGCAATAAATATACTCTGGCTGCAGTAAAATAATATACAATTTAAGTTACGTACAACTTCTCGTTTTTCTAGTTTTGTATAATTTTCTGAATCTGAAACTTCTTGGATTTCACCAATTTTTTTCTTGGCCTTCCGGTTTTTCAAAACTCCTTTCGATGTATCCATTTAATTGATTTATTTTATTTTTTTTTTTTTTTAAATAGCCTCACGCAGAGCGTATTGCCACAGACAAAGGTAAGGAAAACGGAATAGTAAAGAAAAATAATTTTACACCGAATGAACATTACATCGATAAAGGATAGGATCAGCAGGATATAAAACTATCTCTAATACAAAGTACTACATTATGGAAAGGAACAGTTATTAATAAAATATATATCATACAAAATACGATTTGTATACATATGTATGTACATATTTATAATTTTATATTATTTAGAGTAAGAAATAAACATAACTTTTTATATATATTATTATTTAAAGATGAAAGCAGAACAGGAACAGATGTAGGTAACGGGATACTAGAAGAAGGATGAGAATGATCGAATAACATGGAGTGGTTATACCGAGGACAGGACAGAATGATATGGTTTAAATCACCAATATTCAGCCCACACTCACACATTTCACTATCAATAATATGAAATCTGGAAAGGTGGGCTGGGGTACACATGGCCCAATCTCATACGAATGAGAGACGATGTTTCCTTTTTATTAAATTTCATTTTAAAAAACCATGGCTTTAGTGGTATTGTGGGCTGTATACATGAAAAATATTTACCCTTAATTAAACTGCTCTGAATCCAAAGGTCAGTCCAAGATTGTCGAAGAAAAGAAGCAGGAAGTGAGGCCAAATCATGATAATAATTTTTATACGAGTTAGAATCGCCATCCTTAACAGCTTCATTTGCTAGTTGGTCTGCTATGTCGTTACCAAAAATACCAGAATGTCCAGGTATCCAACCAAATGACACAGACAACCCCAATTGCTCACATTCATACAACAAACTCCTAATCTCAATAATGATAGGAAAAATTAATTTGTTTTTTAATGGATATTTTTGGAGAGCTTGAAGAGCACTAAGTGAATCTGTGAATATGATGGATTTCTTAAGTTTCTTGCTCAAAACTAATTTTAAAGCTTTAAAGATACCGTAACATTCCCCTGTGAAGATTGAGGACTCTGGAGGAAACATTATTTTTATTGTAGTTTTACTTTGTAAGTGAAATACTCCTATGCCTACATTACCAGACGAACCGTGTTTAGAGGCATCTGTAAATATGTAATTGTACTCATGGCAGTGTTGTTCACAGAAATAATTAAAAGTAATCCTTGCGTGGGAATCGCCCTTGTTTATACCAATATTGAATCTAATGTCTGGAGAAATAATTAGAGATTCAAAGTTTGTTCCAAATAAAGGGTAAGTTGGTAAGGTATGAGTTGGAGCTTGAATATTGATAAATTTATTGAAGCTGACGATGAGACAAGGTGAAGATTTATTTGACCAGTACTTGGAAGATGTCAACAATTGAGATAGTTCTTGCAGCTTAGAACGGAGAGGATGGTTGGCATATTGAAGGGAGCGAAATATGAATTTATCAGATAAATATTGTCGTCTAAGATGTAATGGGGCTTCAACACATTCTACTTGTAAAGCATTAATTGGACTAGTTTTCATAGCTCCTGTGATTAATCTTAATGCCTTAGACTGTATATTATCTAATTTTTTTAAACGGGTTGCATTTCCAGGAGATAATAAAAAGGTACCATAGTCTAAAATACTTCGGATTAAAGCATTGTACATGAGTTTCATACAAAAGGGATGGGCACCCCACCATACACCGGATAAACATCTAAGAATGTTCAGGTTTCGCTCACACCTATTAAAAATGTAGTCACAATGATTTACACCAGAGAGCTTAGAATCTAAAAACACACCAAGGAACTTCACAGAGTTTTTAACAGGGATAATATTATTATCAAAATACACGTTGATTGGAGGAGGGAGACGCATTCTAGAAAAAAAGCATGGCAACACTTTTAGTGGGGGGATATTTCAAGGCCATTAGTATCAAGCCAAGTTTTTAATAAATTAAGAGAATGAGACAGTAATGAGCAAGCAATGGCCGGTGATTGATGAATGGAATAAATTAAAAGGTCATCAGCATACTGGAGAATACAAATCCGATTACCCAAAAGAAGCTTTCAAATCATGGGTATAAATATTATATAAGATGGGACTTAAGACTGATCCTTGAGGAAGACCTCTCCATAAGGTTCTGGTTACAACAGTGGAGTCTTGTGAAATTAGAGTGATGTGTCTTTCGTATAAAAGTATTTATGATAAAATTTGATAACATTACAGGTACATTCAAATACTGTAGCTTTTTATGAAGAACTGACAACACTACATTGTCATAAGCGGATTGTACATCTAAAAATGTGGCAACAACAGAATCGTTCCTTGAAAATGCTAAAAAAATGTCAGTTATAAAGATGGCAATACTGTCCATCGTACTCTTCCCTCGACGGAAACCAAATTGACTGTCACAAAGTAATTTATTGCTTTCTACAAACCATTCAAGACGAGTTTTCACTAAATGTTCACAGAGTTTTATCAAGACCGAGGATAATGCAATAGGACGATATGAATTTGCGTTAGAGGGATTTTTATTAGATTTTAGAATTGGTATAATGATCTGGTTTTTCCAGCGTGGAGGGATAGAACCGGTTAACATAAGTGTATTTATCAATTTCAGGAAATATTCAAGAGTTTGGTCACCTAAATGAGAGATGAAGGAATATGGGATTCCATCGTCACCAGGAGCAGAGTCTATAACTGAAGATAGTATTCCTTTAATTTCATACATAGAAAATGGACTATTGAGACCAGAGGGGTTCAATGGCATCAGAGGTATAATTATTGTTTCAGGAACTGTAGTAGGAGCAAGTCTGTCGAGGAATTGATTTGTTAATGAATCGGGGAGAGAACCAGAAGTTTCAGTAAATGCACACCTGAATCTTCTAATATTACGCCATACCACAGAAGGACGGACATTAGGGGAGATGGAGAGACAAAAAGATTTCCAGCTATCTGTTTTTTCTCTTTTGAATAATAAACTAGTGGCCTTGAAAGCATCTGTAACCAGATCAAAATTTTCAGATGTACAATTCTCACAATATTGGAGCTCAACTTGTTTTCTTTTTTTAATTGCATCTGAACATTCTTGATCCCACCAAGGTGGAGATGGAATAAAGCCCAGAGCACCGTTTTTAAGCGGAAAGGTTTTGTCTGCTACTTCTATAAATAATTTAGTTAATGCATCAGCACAAATTGATTCTGAACCATGTGAGATATTAGGAAGGGAAGTCATCTTTTGTTCTATACGGGATTTAAAGGTATCCCAATCAGCATTATTAAGTCGATGTTTTAATCTAGGTGAATGTCTAAATGTAAAATTAATGTGAAAAGGAAATCTAAGAAGTAAAGGGAAGTGGTCACTACCATATGAAGAAGAAAGTGTAGACCATGAAATAGTGGAAGCTAAACTAGGAGTACAAATGCTTAAATCAGGGACACTTGAGCCTTCATTGGGAGAGGTCCGCCGGGTCACAGAACCATCGTTAAGAAAGCAAAGATTATGAGAGTTTAACAGTTCCATCAATGAAACTCCGTATGTATTGGTTGTTGAACTGCCCCAAGAATTATGTTGACTGTTAAAGTCGCCTAATAAGATAAAAGGCTTAGGAAGAGTAGAAATGATAGAGTCAATTTCAACAAAGATAGAAGAACTAGGATGAGGAATATATATTGAAACATAGCAGATATTATTAACAATAGCAGCAATAATTGAAAAATCATTACTATGAGAAGGAATAGGAAAGTGAGAAAAAGGAAGATGATGTTTGACTAGTAAGGCAACTCCGCCATACCCGTCAATACGATCCTCACGGAGACAGGCATAGCCTGAGTACCTACAAGGAGCACCTGGTTTTAACCAGGTTTCCTGTAGAGCGAAGATAAAAGGTTTATATTTATTTATAAGATAAATAATATCACTTTTCTTAGACGAAGCACTTCTACAGTTCCACTGTAGAGCTTTGGCTTGCTTGTCCATTATTAATATAATTTGGTAAGCTAACAATAGTGTCAATTAAAGGAGCAGCGTTGGACGGTGAAAGAATATTTGACTGTGATAAAGTGTTAATGAGAATTTTTATTAGGTCTGCAATTGATTGTAATGTCAAATCATTATTGTTGTTTAAGTTTAATCCATAACCATTTCTGGGTGAGGGCATATCATAATCTTTAATTAATTGTTGTTGTGTATTTCTGTCATAACCTTTGGAAAGTTTAGGAATAGATTTAGGTTTGAGAAAAAAGTCTTTTTGTAAGAGTTACTCAAAGACTGTTTATGAGACTGTTCATTTTGAGGAGTAGAAATAGTAGAAGCACCTACATTGGAAGAAGAAAGTAAAGCATCAGCATAAGATATTTTTGAGATAGGTGCATGAATTTTAGATGCTTCAGCGTACGAAATACAGCTCTTGGCCATAGATTCTTTGATGGCTTTTTGGCGATCAAATTCTAAACATCTTTTACTTGTGGCAAAATGGGAACCTTGACATAAACAACAGTATGCATCTTCCTCTAGGATAGAGCACTGATCAGCCGAATGGTCTTGGCCACACTTGAAACACTTTGGTTTTGATCTACATAATGATTTAACATGACCAAATCTGCAACAATTATAGCACTGTATTGTGGGGAAAATGTAAAGATCAACTGGGAGGGAAGTGTAGCAAATAAAAATTCGCTTAGGTAGTATTTGTCCATCAAATGTAAGAACCACAGTTTCAGTAGGCTTAAACTCACTGCCATTACTAGTAATGATACGCCGTCTCATTCTTCTTATTTTTAAAATTGGACCGCATCCAACAGGTAAATTAATATTTTCCGTAACTTCTTCATCTGACCACTCAGCAGGTATGCCTCTTACAACACCCATACGGGTAACAGTAAATGTTGGGATAAAAACCTTATACTCGACTGATTGTAAAGCAGAGTTATTTAGGAAAGAATTTGCGTCCTGGTAATTATTAAAAGACAGAGACAGTCTATTACGACCAATTCGTTTTAGGCTTCCGTTAACAATATTGTGTATAGAATTTCTTTTTAAGAAACGACCAAAAGCAATTGGGTGGACTGAAACGCTATCATTTGGAGTTTGCTGTACTCTTTGTATGTGAACAACATATGGTGCTGCATCACTTGGCTGGTATCTTAAACGTGCTACTGATTCTGGCTTTTTATATTCATTAGAGGAATTAAGTTGTGACGGGTTGGATTGTGACTCATTGAACAAGGGAGCAGTGCTAATTTGGGTATTGGTTAAAGGAATGCAATGACATTCGTTTGGTTTGATTTCCTTGCCCTCATGTTTCCGACTACGTCTCTTTTTATTACAGTGGGTGCAATGTTTATGCACAGTGGCTCTCCGTTTTCGAGCACCACTGCTAGATTTTATAGATCCATCTGTTTCCATTCCAGACTCATCATTTGAAATCGTTACTATACAGCCCACCCCAGGGACTTCTCCGCCCCCAGGGTCATCAGGCGGCTCCATAAGGAGCAAAAGTATATTAAAATAACTTACCAATAAATCTTCTCTTTAATACACTATTAAATAAAACTAAGAAATAACAAAAATATATACATTAAATACACTAGACTACTGATCCAAACCCTAGAAATAAAATAAAATTTAATTAAATCGAAAAACGCGTCAGTCTACGATCGTATTTCCCGCGCATCTCTTAATTGATTTATAATGTAGCTCGTTATCATAAGGATGTGAAATAAATAGTTATCGACGTGAAATTAATAATTAAATATTACTGCGAACCTCAATTCGCATTCGGTTGTTTTGTAATTGTGGCATTTGTAATTTTTTTTTTTTTTTTTGTGTCAATGTCAACTATTAAGGTACGTTTAACGTTGATTTTTGACGATTTATTGCAAAAAAACTTTATTATTATTATTCTTTAAAGTTAAACTTTGGTAATAGAATGTGAAGTTTTATATAAATTTATTATATTCGCCACTTTAATCTTTACAACCTTTCAAACATCGAAATCTATGGTCGAAATTCTCATCTGTGACTACAGAATTTTGAATTTTATAAACAAAGTTTTAAACTTTTGAAAATAAACTATCTTTTCCTTTATTTTATGTAATATAGGGTTTTAAACTGATGTAATACGCTTGTAAGTATTTACTATGTCCCTTTCTCATTCAGTGGATACTAATTTAAAAGCTGATTTGTTTCAATGTCCTGTATGTGAACGACAGTTTTCACAAAGTATTATTGAAACACATGTAAATAAATGTATTTTTCTAAATACACAAACCGAAAATAAACTAAAGAGAGCGGGATCATATGGCGATGACAATGAAACTGTCGACTCGGCAATACACAAACGTATAAAAACAGATGTTGGTAGTGCAAGTACAACTTCAAAAGAATTCTCGGTGCCAGTGAAGGTATCTATAGAAATATGTTATATATGCTTATTTGTCTTATAATATTTACTTTTACTTTCCAAAGAAATTTAAAGTAGTAATATTTATATTCTAGACGACAAATAAGTCAAATGTGAACCAAGAAATGATACCAATAACGGAGTCTCTTACATTTGATAAAAATATTCCATTGGCCGAATTTATGAGACCTTCTCTGTTAGAGGACTTAGTTGGACATACAGATATATTTGGACCAGGCTGTATGATACATTCAATGCTTGTTAAGAAAAAAATACCAAATATGATTTTATGGGGTCCACCAGGCTGTGGAAAGGTATGGTTTGGTATGGAAACTTAACGGTAAATGCATAAAGTAAAATAAATTATGCATCTTCAGGTTTTTATTATCAGACAATTTCATTTATATTTGTTATTTATTAATTCAGGTTCTAGTTAGGTCTTTTTTAAAACTTTTGGTGTTTACATTCCCAACATATTTTTTATATATTTAAAACCAATAAAGATGTAATGTGATATAAGTGAAGCCAGTTTTGTATTAATAAAACATTGTAATAGTTTCTATGTATCTTGAAAGTCAATCAATAGTTTGTGTGATTCTAAAATAAGGCAGGATTTTTAAATTAATGACTAACAATTTTTTTTGTTTTAGACATCATTAGCCAATGTAATAGCCAATGTTTGTAAAGAACTAAAAACTCTTAGATTTGTCAAATTATCAGCAACCATGTGTGGTGTAAATGAAGTCAAGGAGGTGGTGAAGGCGGCTAAAAATGAATGTCAGTTTAAGAGGCACACAGTGTTATTTATGGATGAGATTCATAGGTGATTGTATGTTAAATTTAATAAAGAATTACTAGCTTTGTTTGCACAACCTGCAAGTGTTTATAATAGAATACCTGTGAACCTGCAATGCTTGTGCTAAGACCGACTTATAAAACCAAAATGTCAATATATCTTCTAAAAACTTTCATATTTAAAGTGATCTTTTATTATTTCAGATTTAATAAGTTACAACAAGATACATTTCTTCCTCATGTGGAAAGTGGAACAATAACATTGGTTGGTGCAACAACAGAGAATCCATCCTTCAGTTTAAATAATGCCCTCTTAAGCCGTTGCCGAGTTATTGTTTTGGAAAAATTATCAGTTGAAAATGTTTTACAGATTTTAGAGAAAGCTATTCTCAAAAATAATTTGGCCGTTATTGTAGATAATCTAAAGGAGAGACAGAGTAAATTTGGTGAAACTAAGTAAGTATTCTAACAACTAGTTATTCAACACTAAAATGACAGGTTTTCATAAATGCTACAATCTTTCATTAGCAAAGGGAGTGGATACACAAATATTTTTTTATATTATGTAAGTATTACACAAACAAGATACCTTACTGAACTAAAACATGTTTAACATAATTGTACATTAATTTATTAATATAATATTAAAGTAAACAAACCAAACATAATTTATTATAGGAAAATAAATATAAATTTCAGATGTTTTATAGAACGATCATCACTACAATGGCTGGCAGAGATGTGTGATGGTGATGCCAGAATTGCTTTAGGCGCTTTGGAACTAACACTTAACTCACAAAAACCAAATGATAAATCAGTCCCATGTGTGACTCTTGAAGAAATAAAAGGTGGAATTAAGGTAAAAAAAATTGCCTTTGAATTCAAATTTCCCGCCTAATCAAGAGCGTCGAACGGAAGAGAAGAACTGGCAGTAAACTCTCTGTCGCTCTATTCAAATTTCAATTGCTTAGGTTTTTTTTACAAAATGTTTGTAAGCCTGCAACTATTACATCATGCCCCTCATCACATGTTAAAGCAGTTCATTATTATAAAGAATGACCAAGACCAACGTTTGTACCACTACTGGTTTTGCAGTTGGTGAAGCTATAGTTAAAAATTTCGTGATTCATGTGTCCTTTACATTTTTATGTTTAAATTGATTGTTTTTCTTTATTTAAGTTATTGTATGTCATTTGTAGTTTTGCACTTCTTGCGTTTACCATATTTTATTTAACTTTCCTTGGTTCCCTAGAAGAAATCGCTCTAAGCGATAAGGCCGCCCGTAGCCGTCCTAAATATTAAAGTGTTCTAATGGGCTATTTTATTGTATGAAAATAAAGCTTTATTGGCTTTAAAATGCGTTATAAGAGTAAAATAACTAGTAAATAAAAATTAATTTACCAGAAAGTCGATAATTAAAAATATTGTTTTTTATACGTCAGTCACGTGACACAGAACGGTCACAGATTAGTCGAATCGACGATGCCATGCCAGTTAGGAATGTCTTCGCCAGTCTAATCCTAATACTATCTTGAAAGATAATTTCCTCGATGACAACTTTTTATCAATAATTAATAATATATGTGTATTTGCGTCATTTATTTATGATAATTAACACGTAAAAAACTTGACTTTTGTTTACTGTGACGTCGTAGGGTCTGGTGCGACGCCCTATTGGCTAGAGAAGAAATTATAAACGTTAAATTTGAAATTTAAAACCAATTCTTAATAGAATTAGGCTATGTTCACATGTAACGCGCGATCAAATTTGAAGAGAGTTCAGATGATGAGCGCTAATGCGCGTTGCGAGATTACTCGTTAGTCTAGTGCGGTAGAACGTAGAAAATGGACGTGGAAGAGGCTATTATTTTGTGGTTATTTTATAAAGAAATATATAGAAAAAGAAAACGTACACATTGGGTTCATCCAATTTTGAAAAATAGACCCAGTTTGTTATAAATATAATTACGAAAATTAACAAAATTACATGCGATCGCGATGAAAGCGCACGCTCAACTGAACAGCAAACGGACATTACATTAATATCAAAGCGCATTAACGCGCGCTCATGTGAACAGTTGTATGAAAATACCACAATGTCTAGTCGCGCGATTTGAAAACGCGCGTCAAGTTTTTGCCATCTGAACATAGCCTTAATAAAAAAAATATATAGGTTCCATAGTCAATTATGAATAATCTGAAATAGTTTTTAAACTTTTGACAAATATCCCATTGTACTAGTTTTGTAATGCAACGAAGTATCTAATAAACAAAATGGTTAAATCAAACCAATAATTTAATTCCAGAGGACCCATATACTGTATGACAAAAAAGGGGATGAACATTACAATATAATTTCTGCTATACAAAAATCAATTCGTGCGAGCGACGATAATGCAGCTTTGTATTGGACCACTAGAGCCCTACATGGAGGGGAGGACCCTTTATATATCGCTCGAAGGCTGATTAGAACGGCTTGTGAAGATATTGGTTAGCATTTTTGGATTTAGATCATTATTTCCTAGGGGCTTCAGAGACAAAATTAGCGCGAACTATGATTTCCGTATGTCAAAATTCAATAAATTTTTTACATACGGGAATCAGTCTAAGCACTAAGTTTCGACTCTGAACTCACTCTTCATCGGTCTTCGAAAGAATTCGAGAAACTAAAATACATGGGGATCTTAACATTCTGCAAACATTTGAAGTTAAAATTTAAAAAATCGTAAGTGCATAAGGGAGCGTTCTGGAATCTTGGTAATCAAAAACTTAAACTCTTTTTCTTAAATAAAACAGTAATGAATATACTATATATACTGCTCAAAACAATTAGCGGAACAAGATTTTTCTCCTTTCTATTGCTTAAACTAAAATTAGATTTAAATTAACTTGTACGCTATTTTTTACCTTGTTAATTAATACAATTAATAATAAAATTCAATTTGTATTTTTTTTATAAAAAAAAAATTAAAATGTGCATTGTAGACGAAAAACAAAGTGACGTCTTTGAATTTTCATTACTTTCTAATCACAGAAAAGAAAACACATTTTAAGTAGTTTTTTTCAATCTTTTGAGTATTAATAGAAATTGAAGTGAGCCTTTTGAGTATTGTTATTCATTGAAGCGAGTGAGTTTAGGTCATAATGCCAGATCTGACTGAATTGCATGTCTCCCGAGCTATCGCTTTGCTTGAAGAGGGTCGAACTATGCGTTATGTAGGAAATGATCTAGGAGTAGCCCCTTCTGTTATCTACAGACTTTGGAAGCGATACCGTGAGACGGGAGAATACTCAGGAAGGCGTGGTCAAGGTCGAAAGAGAAAAACTACACGTTTGCAAGATCGCTACATCGTCAACTGTGCTTTACGTAACCGCACCACAACTGCAAGAGATCTACAAAATACACTAAGGACGGCTACTGGTGTAGAAATTTCCGACCAGACGGTAAGAAATAGGTTGTTGGAAGCCAATTTGAGATCACGCCGACCAGTTCGGGCTGTGCGTCTAACAATTCAACATAGACAAGCTCGCCGACAGTTCGCGCAAAATCACGCTAATTGGCAACTTCGACATTGGAGGCCAGTGCTTTTTACTGACGAATCACGATTCCGTCTAACACGTTGCGATGGTCGTCTCCGTGTTTACAGACGCCCAGGCGAGCGATATAGTGCAGCAGCAGTCCAGGAATATGACAAATTTGGATGTGGCTCTGTGATGGTTTGGGGCGGAGTTAGTTTGGAGTTTGGACGAGCGCACAGATCTCGTCGTTGTTCCCGGGCGCTTGTGTGCTCAAACTTACATTGAAAATGTGCTCGAAGATCATGTTTGGCCCGCAGCATATGGTATGGGCCCAGATTTTCTTTTAATGCAAGATAATGCCAGGCCGCATACTGCAGCCATCACGTCAGATTACTTACGACAGCAGGAAATCCGTGTAATGGAGTGGCCTTCCATGAGCCCTGATCTAAATCCAATTGAACACATTTGGGACTTGCTTGACAGGCGCATCCGGAAGCGTCCGATTGCACCTCAAACACTGCAGCAGCTCACTGAAGCGTTGATTGAAGAATGGGAGCGAATTCCACAAGAAGATATTCGGAGGATCATACGAAGCATGCCGCGTCGTTGTCAAGCCGTGATTAGGGCTCATGGAGGCCACGCACGTTACTGAAAGTCACTAAAGACGAATATTCAAACGATATAAGAATATTTCTTTGATGGACCTTTTTTATCACCAATTAGTTTTTCGTCTACAATGCAGATTTTAATTTTTTTTTTAATAAAAAAAATACAAATTGAATTTTTTTATTAATTGTAGTAATTAACAAATTAACAAGGTAAAAAATAGCGTACAAGTTAATTTAAATCTAATTTTAGTTTAAGCAATAGAAAGGAGAAAAATCTTGTTCCGCTAATTGTTTTGAGCAGTATATATTCGATTTTACTAAGGATTTTATTCTTTTATTGAACACGCTTATCTTATGAAGTGTGAATAATTTTTTTTTTGATAGTAGTCTGTCTATTTATTAAGGACGGCCAAGGGTTATAACACGACCTATCTAACGTGGATGAAACCACATAGTCTTCAAAATTTTTAAGGTTTGGGAGATCCTAATGCACTAGTTGAAGCCGTGTCATGTCTCCACGGTTGCCAACATATAGGAATGCCGGAATGTGAAGTACTTCTCGCACAATGTGCGGTGAGACTAGCTCGGGCACCCAAAAGCACCGAGGTATATCACGCTATGAAAAGAGTTCAACAAACATTGAGAGATACTAAAGGATCCTTGCCTCCGATTCCAATGCATTTGCGAAACGCGCCAACGAAACTTATGAAAGAATTAGGTGAGTTTAGATAAAATATCCAATATTATTAAATGTAACTCTTAGTAACAAAAGTTTAAATGGTTACATATGTTGGTTAGACTTTTTTGTAAATATACTTTTACGAATGGCTTGACAATAATTCGTCCCATACAATATATGTGCTAATCACCTGTATCACTTTGGGAAGAGTGTTAAACATTTTAAGACTCCCCAAACTATTTATTTAGGTACAGTGGTACAACTATATTAACTCTTAAGTGAGACTTGTCATTTCCAATACGTTTTTGACGTACGGAAGATAGCTTCCGTAAAAACGTAATATTGATTTAGCGATAAATAAATGGAGTATAAGATGTTAATGTTTCATTCACCCAAATTGGTAGCAAATGTTCATACTGAACTCATTTTCAGGATACGCGAAAGGCTATAATAAAAACCATAAAGACAGTTCTGGACTTACATATGTGCCAGAAGGAATGGAAGGTGTTAATTTTTTTACCGCTTCAAATGGTTGCTAATTATGTTTAAAAGTTTAAGATGTTGCTGTGATATCATTAAAACAATAATTTACTACTTTGCATTTGATTTTGTATATTCCCTAGAGTAGAATGATTTATTTATATATGGACCGATAGAGCAGACACACCAGTTAGATATAATAGTTTCTTTAGCATAGCAGCTTTGGTTACCCTCCAACCTGAACCAAATTGGATTTCGCAGAGAATAACCAAATGGTAAAAACTGAGGCTTAGCGCTAAGTCTTAATTCCCGTACCGAAAAATGTATTGGATTTTCATACCAGTCTTAGTTATCTGAATCTCACCCACAGACCTCAAGTAAATGCATTGGGTAAATCAAGCTCTTACAAATAAGCACTGCTGCTGTTGAGTTATCGAAAAGTTGTGGTTCATAGTGATATTTTGCAGCTGTTTTTGTGTACAATAAAAAAATTTAGATATCTATCCGGTTTCGGCATAAACTATTCAAAAAATATTTAGGAGATCATACGAGGGGAGGTCCAAAAGTTCGTGGAATGGAGGGGATGGAGTGGGGATAGGGGCGCTCGCTTAGTGTCATACTAATTGGGGACTCATAATTAGTATATAAATGGAGTTTCAGCCCTATTGCGTCATTCGTTTACGAACACTCGCCTGCTAAACACGTCAATCCGGAAGAAAACTGAAACTATGAAGAAAATTGAACACCGTGCTGTCATTAAATTCCTTACCAAGCAAGGAAAGAACGCTCAGACCATTTTGAATGAAATGGAAACTGTTTACGGGGAACAGTGCCCTAGTAAATCAATGATTTACAAATGGCATGGTCTTTTTAAACATGGTCGGGAGTCGATTGAAGACGACCCCCGCTCAGGAAGGCCAGTTGAGGCCACCACATCAGACATCGTCGAAAAAGTGGAAAAAATTGTACTGGAGGACACCCGTTTGAAGAAAAAACAGTTATCTGCATTAGTTGGAGTATCAGATACCACAATTTTGCGAATCCTACATGACCACCTGGGTATGACAAAAGTCAGTGCAAGATGGGTACCGAGAATGCTCACGCCGCTTCAAAAACAGCAGCGCGTCGAAGCGTCAAAACATTTTTTGGAGTTGTGTAGCGACGATCCTGGATCGATTTTGGAGCGAATTGTTACCGGCGATGAAACATGGGTTCATCACTTCGAGCCTGAGTCCAAACAAGAGTCCATGCAATGGCATAAAAAGGGGACACCACCGCCAAAGAAATTCAAAGTGTCGGAGTCGGCTGGAAAGTTGATGGCTACTGTTTTTTGGGATTGTGAGGGGATAATACTGATTGATTATAAAGAAAAGGGCAGGACCATAACCGGAGAATACTACGCAACAATACTAGAAAAATTAAAGGATGCCATCAAAGAAAAACGTCGGGGAAAATTGACCAAGGGTGTGTTGCTCTTGCAAGACAACGCGCCGGTTCACAAGAGCAAAGTTGCAATGGCTGCTCTACACACGCATGGCTTCGAATCACTAGTCCACCCACCCTATAGTCCAGATCTGGCCCCAAGTGATTTTTATTTGTTCCCCAATTTAAAAAAAAATCTTAAGGGGAAGGAAATTTTCCGACGACAATGAGGTAAAGGAGGCAATTTTGGCTCATTTTGAGGGAAAAGATAAAAAATATTTTTACGATGGTTTAGAAAAATTAATTCATAGATCTAATAAATGTATTCAGCTTAAGGGTGATTATATTGAAAAGGAAAAATAAATTTACTGTTTCATTTTTACTAAAACCCTTTCATTCCACGAACTTTTGGACCTCCCCTCGTACATTCACTCCACATACAAACCATAGGACATTGGTAGAGGGAATAAAGATGGTCTTGTTTGACCCAATGTTTCAATTTAATCAAAATTAAATAAAAGAATAACCTCCTAGTGTCATTTTTATTTGATAATCTCATTTCACAATTTTTATGACTTGGTAAAAATTCATTATTTACAAGAAGTAGACATTATAGTTATAATTATCTACAACATTGTACCTTTTTAATTCCTCACTATTCCAAAACTGCCTGTAATTATAAAAAATAAAATAACATTATTTCTTACTTTACAACATTATTGCTGCACATTGTGCAGAAAATACTTAGAATTCCTACAACCTATGGAGCACTTTATGATGTATGCGAATGCTTTATTTGTAAATTAATGATCTATTGCTCATGAAATTTACCGTGTAATTAAAAGTCTCACTAATATTTACAAAGCCACTACTGAAATACCATACACGCGTATCATTCACTCACATACAATTATGTCAATTATCTAAAACAGAAAATGAGATACGAAAAAGTTCCAAGATTTTTACAATAATACTTACAAATAAAAATTAAGCTAAGGGCAACTAAAATTGTCTAAATAAATTAGAATCAGACTTCTAATTTGGATCCTAATGTGAGGAACAACTTTATTTTTTTGATTTTCACATACAATTTGTTTCATGTCAAAAGACCATAAAACTAAATAAGTAAAAAATTTGTAAAGTGGAACGTTTACATTGAAACAAAATATATAAAGTAGCTGATGCTACGAGTTTAGAAGACATAGTCCGGCCCGGCCATGTCAATTGCCCAGCGGAACTTATCACGCTGAGTTTTGTTGTAAATCTTCTCGATCGGTACACCATGCTTTTTGCACCTATAGAAAAATAAAATAGTTTTCTTCAATAAAGAACATAACATTTAAAAAGGAAAATACATTTATCAAGAATTTCTTGATTTCTTTATTCAATCTATATTATATAGATTTAAAGTAGCACCAAATAGCGTACTATTGTTACTTAAAGACAAGTTTGGCTACAGGCATTCTTAATTCAAGGGTTTGTTTTGTTTATCTGAGTTTATATAAAAATATATTATTTTTAACAATAAATTACACTAAATTTACATACCATGATACGGAAATACGTGGATCCAGATAGTTCAGTTTTGATGTGCCAAGCGCTATAGTTTTGTTTTCATCTCTATTTGTTTCATCCAATTCTAGCTTCTTCAGTTGTTCCTTGAGGCGATCCAAAGCTTTCTTTTTCTTATCACAGTTAAGTTTTTCCTTAACAGAGCCTCGTTTGGCAGCTTTGCTGGCTTGCCTATAATCTTCCTCGGCTTCATCAATCTGATCCCTCTTTGTTTGTATTTTCTCTTTGAGAGCCTCCATGGATTTTGAATGACCTAAAAGAATAACATGCCTTGATAATCAAATAATTTTAAAGATAAGGGTATTATACAACAATCAATCTAAATCTACACATACCATAATTCTACAAGGAGCCTAGTGCTAATTATTAGTAAGTTTTTTTTTGATTTTTATTATATACAAATGTGTTGCATGCAATAAATAAATTAACTTATCAAGTTAGGGCCTTAGATTTCTGTTTCATGGTAGTGTTTTCTAAGTAGGTGAGCAGCCTTCTGTGACTTACACAGGGCATTGACTTTTTAGGTCTAACCCATTGCGGTTTCCTAACAATGTTATCCTACAGCATACAAGAAAGTGTTAAAGGCACACATAGTCAGAAAGACCATTAGTCAGCCAGGGATTGAACTGCTCATTTATTAAGAACACCAAACTTAACTTAGACTTTAAGATTATTTATCTAAAATTTTAAAAGGAAATAATCATAAAACTACCTTTAGGTACAGCACGCTGATGGTTACAAAGTATAGCAACAGCACGGTTTGCTCTGTTGTAAGCTAAAATTTTTTCAGGCACAGTAGCATCTGGGTCTGTTAATTCTTCAAGTTGTCTCTGTAAAGTGATAGATGCATTGTAAGTACGAAAGACCTTGGCAGTCAAACCAGGCATCAAATCTTTCAAATGCTCATTTAGCGTCTGAGTGCTCAATCTATCAAACAAATCATCACTGTCTTTTTTGTTCTCCATAAATAATTCGAGATTTTTAAACACCCGTTTCTCCACTGGGACTTCATTGTAATATCTGATAGAATCTTTACCAAGGAAATCAAACACAACCACATATTCTTTGCCATCTTTTTCTTTATGCAATTCAATATGTTCAACCCTGAGTGAGCAACAACCAACAGTATCAGCCTGGTCATCATCTTTCTCATTACCAGCTCTCAAAGCAAGACGATCAATAAAATACAATGCTACAGCTCGTTGGCGAACACGCATCTCCTTTGCTTTCCAATCCAAACGATACTGGTCTCTTATTTTGTCAATGCACTTGTGTAGTTTACGAGCTGTTTCATATTTCTGCCAGTCTTTTTCACCTTTAAGTTTTGAGCTTGGATTTAACATAACATACTTTGATTGACCTTGTACATTTTCCGTCCATGAAGCTAACCATGTAACAGTGTTGTCATGTCTGACATCCTTCCACTTGTGGCCTGGGGGTGGTTTGGGTATTTTACTATCTTTAGAACAATTTATAGACACATCTTCTGGTATAACCCTCCGTTTTAACATACCCATTTTTGGATGCTCACCACGACCTCTAAATAACCCAGGTGGCTCAATTCTAAAGTTACCTATCTTCTCTTTGTGCCCATCAATAACACAAATACCATATTCTTTCTGTATTTCTTCATTTTTAGCTTTCAGTGTAGCCTTTTCTTCTTTTGTACGATTTTTGTTTTTCTCAGATTGATGAAGGAAAAAAGTTTGCATTTCCTTAAAATCACACTTTGAAAGATCCTTTATTATTTTTGCTTCTTCTGATGTCATAACTTTACGCCAATCATTAAAGAAATTTGTATTAAATGTAGATTTTGTTGTATAATCATGGTCAAGCATTCGAGCATAGAATCCAGCAACTTCTTCACTGTCTTGAGAAAGCCGCATTTCTTTTCCATCATAACGAAATTTGACATTAGGTGGTAAAGGTTCATAGGGAGGTGCAAACACTGGACCTTTATGTTCCAGAAACCGCCACTTTGTTCCATCATCCTTTTTCTGCTCTTCCCACCTAAAAACACATGTATGTAATCAAGATAATGACAAAAACAACCATGTTTTGCTTATCACAACAACAATATTACTTTTTTCTAGGTACTCTTAATTGTCTAACAAATAAAGTGTTTACAACAACATTACTTCGTAAAATCGATTTTACTTCACATAACCAAACTCTTACATTGATTAACATAGCTATATCGAGATAACCTCATTACGGTAAGTTATGTTTAGTTTCTTACGTCACGAACGTCACGTTTATAACCTAGACGTCATGCGAATAATGCGTCACACAAGCAATCTCAACGCCATCTCGTGTAAATTTAAAACTATCACACTATAGGTTAACGCCATCTACTAGTGTACTTGTGAATCTCTTGCAAAACATTTTGTCGGCTTTGAAGCGTCCTTAGGTCTATGTATATATATATATATATACTTTCTGTGCCTATAGAAGAGTAAAAAGAGATCAAGACTATACTTTGTTGAAATAAAAATATAGTAAAACAATTAAATTGGCTTTCTTGTATCAAGTTTATGACTGTTGATTCAGAAACGACACTCACCCCAAGTAACGGACGCCTATATCTATTGTAATTTAAAGATTTATCAACTCACCATTTCCAAACCTCTTGTTCCTCGTCTTTGCCATCCTTCTTCTTTCGCTTGGTGGGGCTAGGGATTTCATCTGGTTCAGTCTTAACTTTTCGTTTTTCTGCTTGTTTCTTCTTCTTTTTAGGTTTTTCTTCTTCTTCTTCATCGTCGTCATCATAATCAACTGGTTCTAAGACAGAATAACCAACAATAAAGTTTTATAACCTAGAAAATAGGTGTTGCATATGGTTCTGGAAGAAAACTTGCTTTGACTATAATTATTTCTTAACCCACAAATAAATCCTGAATGCTTTATTTATTTTTTAAAATAGCATTTTTGGTAAAGATGTTTTCTTTGCTTATTTTTGGATGTCAGACCAGAGTTTTTAAATATAGAAGAGAAAATGAAGAATAAAGTCTTAAATTTCATATATGCACAATGCACATATTTTAATTCCAAAACCTTGTGCCAATCAAATAACTACCAGGTTCAAAAATGGAAATATATATATCACGACTACAAGTAGCATGTCATGATTTTACTTACCTTTCTTAATTTTTTTCTTAGGTTTCTTCCTTTGCAACAGTGGTATATCTTGTTCATCATCACTGATAGCCCGTTTCTTTATTGCCTTGCGTTCAGTCTTAAAATTAAAAATATTTAGACTTGTAATAAGCTTAAACTGTAAATCACAACTTTGTTACAGGAGTAGAATGTTTTATTTATATTCTATAAATATATAGTTTAAATAGAACTAAAATGAGTCATAAAACTTTAAATATGTGTTATACAAGTCAGTTAAGAAGAAAACTATTACTTTACTATTTATTTTCAGTTTTTCCATTAACTGATAGTTTCTCTTTTGCTGCCATACCTTCCTAGGAATTGTATTTATAGCATTGATGCATCATTGCAGCATAGATAAAATGACAGTTTATTTAATTAGAGAGACCAGATAACCTAAGCTCTCACCAGTGGAATATCCTCTTCACTCTCACTCTCATCCGGTAGTTCACCGAGAGGCTCATCCTTAAATTGTGAAAGGGAGTAATCACATGACGAGGCAGTTGTATTTGCTCCTGCAAATCCATCTTCGCTTTCTTCTTTTATCTCTAGCTTTATAGAGGCTTCATCAATCTATGTAAAAAAATAAAAAATTACCTCCAATTAATGTCTGAATTTTTTCTTGATTGGACCAAAAATGTTATATCATGCATATTAAGTTCCTGTCACTATTTATTTAATTTTACATTTTCACAACTCAGAATACAATGTTAAACACACAAACAGAACCCAAAACTTAATATTTATATATTTCACAATTAAATAACATTGTATTCTTAACATAAATTACTACAATATAAGCACACCTGCAATGGATCATCTTTTCTTGGTGAATCTTGAGAATCCGAATCAGATTTAATTTTTAACTTTTCTCTGTCTTTCTCCTTATGCTTACTAGAGCTAAAAAAAAAATTATAACTTAGTTTATAAAAAAAATCATATTGACTTTCAAACTTAGTTTTGTCTAATGGACTTGTTAATATAGAAATTAAATTTTAATATACATTGTTAACAGTATTTAATGTATGGCACTACACAGTTTCCGTGCTATAGAATTTTTTTGTTTGTAGAAAAAGAAATTTTGTTTTACTGTTATAGCATTATATATGACTAAGATGATAGATAATGTAAAATAATAACAGCCGCTTGCATACTATGGCACATTGTTATCATTAAACAGAATGCAGCTTATGTACAGACAGTACAAGCATGCCTGACATGGGTCAAGTCATTCTGTAGTTCTCCTTCAAACTCCCTAAAGTTTGACTTTAAATATACATTGAGTTTATACTTTATTTCACAACTAATGTTATCTTTAATATACAATTACTTTTATAAATCAAAATATATTAATGCAATATTGCAATAATTACAGGACAACTTTAAGGATTACCTGTGTCTATCTTTATCTTTGGAACTTGAGTGCTTTTCGCTCTTGTGTTTATCCTTGTCACTCCTCTGTCGATCATGGTCACGGTGTTTGTCTCTGTCTTTAGATTTATGATCCTTCGATGACAAATGTTCCTTATCCTTTCTTTTTTCTCCATTATTGGATTTATGCTTGTCACGATCACCCCTATCCCTGTCTCTATCGCCTTTCTCCTTGTCTTTGTCTCGATGTTTCTCTTTGTCACTACTTCTTTCTTTATCCTTCTCTGAACGATCCCTATGTTTATGTTCTCTATCCCGTTCTTTGTCTTTACTTGAAGATTTATGTGAGCTGCTGTGATTCTTACTGCTAGAATGCTTGTCGCTAAAATATTTGTAATATGAAGTTATTGTATGACCTATTTCATCTACAGAAAAGACAAGAAAATTTACATAACCTAGTCTTTTCCTCTTTTTTTTTCATTCACTTGTGGCTAATAAATTTAACTATACTATATAAAAAAATACATGTATTCTTAATGGACTCTATCTAAATGGGATCTTAGAGAACTGAAAGCAAGATTAAGGAATATTCTAGAACACTCACCCACTGGAGCTGCTATGTTTGGAGCTCTTATGGTCGCGATCTTTGTCACGATGCTTGTCCTTACTTGACGATTTATGGCTACTTTTATGTTTCTCGGAACTGCTATATCCGTTATGTATACCATTCACGTGTTCCTTTTTATCTCCATTTACTTTACCCTTTGAAAAATAACCAAAAGTATTAACTTAGTTTAACATATTTATATTATTTATTTCGAAATTGAAGTACAAACTACAATAAATGCAAAAATTGCAAGACATAAAGATTAATCCCTTTAACATGGCTTGGGTTCTATTCAACGTGAGAAGTACAGTACAGTAGACGCCATATTGGGACTTAGAAAATTTTAGCTTTGTCGCTCAATCCTTCACTAGTAAATATGAATTTATACGCGATATTGAGACATAACAGACACGTAAATGGAGAGCACGGCTTATTTTAAAATTATTGTACTACTTACGGAGTCACAGTCATTATCACTGGTAGGATTTTCCACACTCATTTTGCCTACGTATACGCCGTTACTCGGAGATCAAAATTACATGAGGCCGGCGGACTGAGCGGCTGAGCTCAAAGTTGAAATTGAAAACTGAAGCCGCTGCTATAGTCGACAATGGACACACTACGCAAGCGCATTTCGTAAGAACTTCACTGTCAAGTTAAGCTGTCAATGTCAGCTGGAGGAGGATTCAATTAGAACCTCTAATGGTGCGTTCCACTAAGCGCTCACGACGATCAAAATGCTCCTTTGAAAAAAGCGCGGGAAACTTCGTTCATGGTAGACGTTTTTTTTTTCACGGTGGTGAATATTTAATTTAATTTTACTAGTTAAAACGCAGAGGATAAGCTGGTAGTTTTAATTTTTGTATTATATGTAATCTTTATATCATATTTGTGTATAGTGTCATCGTGTAGTCGGTAAGTTTTTGTAATTTCTGTAAATATTGTATGAACAAGCCCCCCGATCAAGGTCGGGGGGATGATGGCCTTGTTGGCTTGAATCTCCCTGTGGGATCAAATGTATCTGTTGGTTCACAAGATGAATTTGACAAAATGGATACCGATTGTTCGGTATCATCTCAAACAGGTGAAGGAACTCGTAAACGAACACGTTATTTGCGCCTTTGTCGGCAATGTACGAAAATTAAGAAAAAGAAAGGTAGTGGTTCTAGCGGTGATTACTGTCAGTGCGAAAGCCTATGCAATGTAGAAGATGAGTCAATTTTAATTAAAAAGGTTACTTCAAAACCTATATCTCAATCCACGTCATCTCCACACTTGCAAAATAATAATAATTCACATAGCACATCCTCTCGACCATCAACATCTTACACGGAAAATTCAAATATCTCTCAAGACTCTAACGCGGGAAATTCAAACAACACCACAGCTTCAGTAACCAATACGGACCCCCGTTCGATTGGCCGTACTGAATATGTTTCTACCGATGTTTCCCCTTATTTAATACATGTTCAACGTATTCAAAGTTCACCTGACGACGGGACCATTCTCCATCCAATAACATTTGGCAATTTTTTAAAGCAGAACAAATTTAATAATATTATTCCCGGAAGTGTAAAGCGTATAGGAAGAAACAGATGCGTAGTTGGCTTTTCCGATTATAAAGACGCCAATAATTTTCTTAACTGCAGTCTTTTGGAAACGAAAAAGTTAAAAGCCTTCATTCCCACTTTCAGCGTAACAAGAATGGGTCTAGTTCGCAGGGTCCCTGTAGATTGGAGTGTAGAGGAAGTTCAACAAAATGTATCAGTACCTATAGGCTGTGGCAAAATACTTAAAATAAGACGTTTAAATCGCAAGGTAAAAATTAATGACTCGGTTTCTTGGAAACCCTCTGAATCAGTTGTAATAACATTTGATGGGCAAGTTTTACCAAAAAGGATTTTCATGTGCTATAATGCTCTTCCAGTAGAAATATATATTTATCCTACCATACAATGCTATAAATGCTGCCGTTATGGTCATACCAAAGTTCAATGTCGTTCTAAGACTCCAATATGTTATAACTGTGGAGGTCAACATGCAGGTGTATCATGTGACAGGTCAGATAAAGATCCTCTGTACTGTGTAATGTGTGAAGTCAAAGGGTCCCATTCAGCGATAGATAAGTCATGTCCAGAATTTGTGAGACAGACAGAAATCAAAGTTAAAATGGCTCAGAGCTGCATGTCTTATGCCGAAGCCAGTAAATATTTTCTTCTGTTAAGCCTTCATACGCAGATGCATTAAGTTCAACAATTCCGGAAGTACCAAAACCCGTATATTCTTCCGCAGCGAAGTCTGTATCTCGTAATAATTCTACTAATGCCTCAAATAAAAAGACAGTATTCTTAAAACCTCGCTCTCCTCGTAAACCACAACATGGTTATGATCGTGTTGCGCATAATAATGTTTTAAAAGACTTCCAAGTTCCAGAGCCTAAAAATGGCAGTGCTCTGGTTGGACACAAAAATAAAGAAGAAGAAAAATCTGATGTATTAGAAATGATACTAGCATTATTAACTAGTTTAATAAACTCAAACTTATTGAAACCGTCCCACGTTGCCTCTATTAATGAAAAAATTAAATCAGTTAATGTTATTAAAAACAATGGATTCCAAGATAATTCAATGGAATTGCAGGAGTGTTGTTCCAAAGAAACATGATTTGATATATTTGATAAATAAACATTCTCCCGTTGTTGTTGCGTTATCTGAAACGTGGTTGAAGCCAGGGTACCTATTAAGGATCCCAGGATATACCTGCTTGCGTGATGATAGATTTGATGGCCATGGTGGCGTAGCGTTACTTGTCAGGAACGCAATTAATTTTTCTGAAATAGCGTTTTCTTCATTAATCTCTAATGATGCCATTAATATTGTCGGCATAAAAATTGATAATATTTCTATAGTTTCCATTTACTTAGCTCGTTCCTCTTTTGTTATTCTCAATAGCGTTAATAATTTACTTTCTTCACTCAGTCGTCCATTCCTTCTATTGGGTGACTTTAACTCTCATCACCAAATGTTTGGTTGTAGCACTACTGACTCCAATGGTGTACGTTTAGTTGAAATATTAGATTTACATAATTTGTGTTTACTTAATACTGGCTCACCAACCAGACGTACAAAGCCTAATGAAAAGCTTAGCGCGGTTGACTTATCAATTTGTACTCCAGATCTTGCTTCTTCTCGTTCTTGGTACACTTCATCATCTACTTTTGGCAGTGATCATTTCCCGATTATCATATCCTCACCAATTAGACGCTCTCCTTATCAAAAACGACAACCTCGTGTGAAATATAAATTAAATAATGCTGATTGGCTTGCATTTAAAAGCCTTGTCGAATCTAAAATAAATGATTTGCCTGAATTAGTTAGCGGTGGTGAGACCAATTCCTCTAAAGCTTTGGCTACATGCTTAATAGAATCTGCCGAATTTCGTTTTTCTGTCAAACGAAATCCGTCTAATAAGATTCCTTTTCCTCCATGGTGGGATAGAGAATGTATGGTTGCTGTAAGCAGAAGAAAGGAAGCTGAGAGAGTCTATGCTGAGGACATGTCCAATGAAAATTTAGATATTCTCAATGAAGTTATTAGTACCACACGTAAATTCCTCAGAGATAAAAAGCAGGCAGGCTGGAAAAATTTTTGTACTTCTTTATCTCCTTCTACGTGCCCTTCAGAAGTTTGGACAAGTATTAAACGTTTTCGATCTGCTTTCAAAGAATCTTTATCATCGTCTTCACTTCCCCCTTTTTTAACCAATGCCTTTTTAGACAGATTAGCTCCTCCATCAGCTGCTGAATCGATCTACTTTCCTTTGGAATCGTCTTTGACAGATGACTCTTCCTCTTTAAACTCTCCTTTTTCATTACATGAATTGAAAGGTGTGCTTTCACATGTTAAGGATTCATCTCCTGGTCAGGATGGTATTATGTACTCATTTTTATCTCATCTTGGTGATACTGCCTTAATGTATTTTTTAAATTTAATAAACTCCGTCATGGTCACAGGTAATATTCCTGAAACATGGAAGTCTCAAGAAGTTATAGCGATTAAAAAACCTAACAAACCTACCAATGATGTTGCCTCATATAGGCCTATTGCGTTGTCCTCCGTTTTAACTAAAATTGCTGAACATCTTGTGAAGAATCGTTTGGAATGGTTTATAGAAAACAATAATTTAATAGCCAATAGTCAATACGGTTTTCGGAAGTCAAAATCTACAATAGACAATTTAGCTATATTAACCACAGATATTCGCATAGCTTTTTCGCGTGATGAAGATATTGTAGCTGCCTTTTTGGACATCTCTGCCGCCTATGATAATGTGAACATTTCTATTCTACAACACAAATTATTAGAGCTACAGGTTCCTACGTTATTAATACATTTTATCATCAATTTACTATCCTGCAGATACATATCATTAATCGTTCAGAAAAATGGTAATATTACCGAGTTAAAGCGTACAGTTTTTAAAGGCCTTCCCCAAGGTTCGGTACTAAGCCCACTTTTATATAATATTTACACGTATGATTTAGAATTATCTATAAATTCCCATATAAATGTGCTACAATATGCAGATGATCTTCTTTTTATTCCGTTGATAAATCTGTGGTTAAGGCTTGCAATTCCATGTCTAGTTCACTTAATTGTCTTAATATCTGGTTAGTTAAAAATGACCTAGATCTATCAGTTTCCAAAAGTTCTATAGTCGTATTTTCCAAAAAACGCACAACTCCTATAATAAATGTGACCTTCAATGGTCAATCTTTGCCACTCCAAACAAAAATTAAATTTTTAGGAGTTATATTGGATTCAAAATTGTCTGGACTTGCCCATTATGAACATGTTGTTATGAAATGTGCACAGCTGCTTAACATCATGAAATGCCTTTCAGGTGTATGGTGGGGTGCTCATCCGTTTTCTATGAAACTTGTGCATAACGCTCTTATAAGATCTGTTTTAGATTATGGCACATTTCTCTTAGATGGAGGAAGTGTCTTGGGAAGTCAAAAACTTGATGTCATTCAGTCAAAAGCTTTGAGAATTGTGACAGGAGTAATGAAATCAAGCCCATCCAATGCTTTACAAGTAGAATGCTGCGATCCTCCTTTAAAATTAAGAAGGCAATTTTTAAGTGATCGATTCTTGTTCAAATCTATGCAGTTTTCTAACCACCCTCTACATAGAAAACTGCATGAATTGAACAATATTATTCATACATCCCGTTACTGGCGTCACAAATCATTACCATGTCTAATAATAAGCTTTCGTAAATTTTTAACATTACACAGCCGCATTCATCGATCTCCATCATTACCCATATTTATGACACAATTCAATTCTTTAATTCTTGATCCGGATATAAGATATAATATAGGCGTCTGTAAGCAAGATATTCTGGAAACAAATATTCGTTTCATGAGTAGCGTTGAGGAACAAAATTGGGAAGGTTGGGATTATATTTTTACAGATGCCTCTAAAATCTCTGTTGATGATTGTGTTGGAGTTGGTCTAATTCATTGGCAACATAAAATAATTCAAAAGATTAAACTTCCTCCTGAATCCTCAGTTTTTACTGGAGAGTGTTTTGCTCTTTTAAAAGCTTTAGAACTAATTATTTTATTAAAATCTAAAAGAACAATCATATTTTCAGACTCAAAAAGTGCACTACAATCTCTTGAAAAATCTCCTTTCCAAATGAAATTTTGTTATCCTATTATTTGCGAAATACGTGATAAGCTTTTAATATGTTCTCAAAGAAATTACACCGTTATCTTTGCATGGATTCCAAGTCACAGTGGGATTAAAGGAAACGAGAAAGCCGATGAGCTTGCTAAAGAAGCTATAAAGGATGGAGACATAGTCCCATACATCAATTATTGTCATGATTTAGCTGCTCTTCCGAAAACCCATCTTTGGGAGTCATGGAATGATGTTTGGTTGAGAAGCAGCAAGTTCAAAGGCAAACATTATGCTGAAATTCAACCTAGGATCCCCAGTAGACCATGGTTCTTTGAGGTTAAAAGTTCTAAAACTGTCACTTCTATCATTTCCAGAATGCGTTTAGGACATGTTTGTACACCTCATCATTTAGCAAGGCTTCGTATTGTTGATAGTAATATTTGTAAGTGTGGAGAAGATATTGGTGACCTCGACCATATTTTCTTTTCTTGTTCCCAATATGACCGTACCTCCTTTCTGAATTCTTTACAATCACTTCATGTTCCGTTTCCGACTAAAATCTCCTGCCTTTTGCTTTATCCTTTATTGTATTATAATGTATTATCTTCTTTCATAATCTATAATAATATTAAGATGTAATATGTTTTTGTACATATTTTGTTTTTAACCAGCTTATCCCTTTATTTCCTTTTGATGTCTTTGTTTATTTTATTTCGCGTGTAGTTTCCCAACCTTTTACTTGAAACTGGCATAAAGTTGAAGCTGTTGCCAAAAAGTTAAAAAAAAAAAAAAAAAAATGCTCCTTTAGCCATTCCACATACCGACCGCGGTCGTTGTGGTCACGGCGAAAACGTCATGACTAATGCTCACGCAACGCTCACAACGACCCATCTAAAGAGGTGGGTCGTTGTGAACGTTGAGAATAATTAGGCGCAATTTTTGAATTTTTTTTTGAAATATGACAAATAATAATATTATTATATTCAAAGCTTAAAGATGGCGACAAGAAAAATCACATTATTTGATTCAGAAAGAGAAATTGTTGTAGATGCTATCGTTTCTGAAGCTGAAGCTGCTCGTGCAGAAAGAGGTAAATATAATTATGCAATATAAGTTTAATACAATTGATTTTAGTTTATATTCAACAGCTATTTATACATTTTTCCTGAATAATGGATAGCATAACCTAACTCAATGTAAACGATATATATTTTCATTAATAATATATATATATATATATTTGGTAAATTTATTTTATTTGCAGATGTATTTTTTGCAACTGAGCTATTAAGAAAAGCTGAAGCTTCCGCATCTGTTCAAGTAGATCAAGAATTTATTGAAGAGACTTCAGAGAGTTTTATTGAAGAACGGCTTGATAGTGATAATCTCAATTTAAATGTTAAATTAAAAAAAATTAGTTTGTAATAATTTGTAAATATTAAAAATTTTATTTATAGTTCATACAATTTACATCAAATTATTATTTTCACTCAAATGTTCAAAAATCCAATGATCATACAACTTTGATAATTTTCGGTCCTATAAAACTATTGTGATTACTCCTAACAGGATTTATGATGAGTTTTCTACCAGTTTTACAAGGAATTCATAATAGCATCTCTTTTAATAACTCCTGCAGTTTCCAAAATTATTTATAAAATATTCAATTATTCTTCACTTTTAACATAAATAAATTTAAGTCACAAATATCAAAACTTATTGTTTATGATTACCTAACCTCCTTAAAATTCTACTATTTTCAAACTTGACATTTGTAATATTTACATGAACGCCCGAAACGGTCCATAATCCATTCCACTTGAGTTAACGACAGTAACATTCACAATCAAGTGGAATGGGGAAATCAGCGGTCGTGAGCGTGAGCGTTGTGAACGCTTAGTGGAACGCACCATAAGTAAAAACTAGACTAGCATGGAAAAAACTGTATGTAAACTAAATATTTTCGGCGTTGAATTATAGATTTCCCGTAGGTATGTGTTAATCAAACTAATGAGGATTAGGTAAATAAAAGAAACATTTTATTTAAAAAAAACATTGAATATATAACTAACAGCCTAGTGTACATCTTATTACCCTTATCACATCATTACTTCTTAGTTTCCTTTGCTATATATACTATTTGGCTCGTTAGCTCTATTAGTGCGGTTTCTATGCTTATTCTTATTTCATATAAGGTATACACATTTTTGTAGATTTTACTTTTTCTTTGGAGTTTGGTATTTACTCACTTAGAGTTCTTACTTCAGAATATATAGTACACTATTAATAAATACTCTGTGGGCGTGGGTTCATTGGCACTTTAGGAAAAGAAAGAGTGGACCAGTGATGCCAACATTGGACTTTTCCCCCCAAATTTAGGGGGAATCGAAATATGCAGAAAGATTTTTAGGGGATACATTTATTTCAGGGTACTTAAATCAAGAAATGTATTTTTTTTTTAAAACCACATAACTGTATACAATTAATAATAACTCTCGAACCCAACCAACAAACAAAACCAAATGTTAACTCCAAGCGTGGCATATGAAAAGGCATCAAATATCTAAATAACAGCAACAAACTTTAATGTATTATTAATGCATATTTGAATGTTCCTATTTAATCCGAGTGTACAACAATAACTTAGGGGGTATTTGAAGTTGGCCCTAGAGGGAACATTCTCTAGAAGTTGACACTTGACATCACTGGAGGCGACAGTGGACTGTGGACTGTGGAGTGTGGAGTGTGGACACGTAAAGAATGTGGATAAACAATTGAAGGACCTAGGGTTTTCCTTAAATTATATTACATTATAGTAAAGTAATTTTTGATATTATTAATTTAGGTGGTAGTTTGGAAACAGTCATAAGAAAATTAAACTATGAGTAGTTTAGGTGCAGATGATGAAAATGGTAGTAATGTGGGAAATGACTTAAATAATTCTCAACGGCATTTGGAAAGCGATAGAACAGAGTGCATAAATAACACTGGAACAAATAATAAAACAGAACATGCATCTGTTGTGGCAGCTCATTATAATCACTTGGAAGAAAAGGGTATAAGAGAACGCTTTAAGTCTCCAATTTTTTACCTTAGAAACTTTAATAATTGGGTCAAAAGTGTACTTATTCAAGAATATGTAGACAGAGTACGAGGAAACGTTTACGGGAAACGATTGAGAGTGCTTGATATTTGTTGTGGAAAAGGTGGAGATTTAAGTAAATGGCAAAAGGCTTGTGTTAATCATGTGATATTTGCAGATATTGCTAATATTTCAATCCAACAATGTAAATCAAGATTTGATGAAATTCGGAAATGTACATTTACTGCTCAGTTCATTGCTGCCGATTGCACTAAAGAGAGTATACGTGATAAGTATACAGACCCTTCTATAAGATTTGATATTGTGAGCTGTCAGTTTGGTCTACATTATAGCTTTGAAAGCTTGCCTCAAGTAAGGCGAATGTTAAAAAATGCCACTGAGTGTCTTAGTCCAGGAGGTTATTTCTTTGGGACCATACCAAATGCTTATGAAATTGTGTCACGAGCAAAGAAATCACCAAATGGTCAGTTTGGCAATAGGATTTATAATATTAAATTATTATTTGACCCTAAGGATGGCTATCCTTTGTTTGGTGCAAAATATGACTTTCATTTAGAAGGAGTTGTAAACTGTCCTGAATTTTTAGTGAATTTTGATTTATTTAATAAGTTAGCTAGGGAATATGATCTTGAACTAGTTTACAAAGCTGGATTAGGAGATTTCTATAAAGACCACATGGAAAAGTATAAACAATTACTGCCTAAAATAATGTGCTTTGAAAGTTATCCTGCCCCACCTGGTAAACAACTCATTGGTGATGAGTCTGAATATGAACATGCAAAATCATTCTATGAGAGTATTGACAACAAAAGTCAAACAGTAGGCACCATGAGTAAATGTGAATGGGAAGTTGCAAGTAAGTTTATATGTTATCTTCATTCAAGCATTGCTCCTTTAAAATTGTTAAATGTATCATTGGTTAGGGAAGGTACTAGTACTAAGGCCTTCTACTTAATTAATGTAGGTTGATTGTATATTATTTTGGTTTACGAAATCACAAAAATGTTAAGTAATGTTTGTACCTAATTTGGTATTCCTATATTAAGACATAGATACATTTATATTAATAATGTAGGCACAGTACATCCTCCTTAATAAAAAATAAAAATACATGGCAAATGTAACAATAACAACGTAGAATAATTTCTATGACATTTCATTACCAACTCGATTCCGTAAACTTGATTAAACATCCTTTACAAGTTTAAAATAAAAATCAATATCAGTCTTGTCCTGTCTTCGTGACTTACTGAAGATTTTGTAACATATGATTAATTGTTTTGTTTCTTTTCAGCTGTTTATATGGCATTTGTTTTTAAAAAATGCAAGAAATAAGGTGATTCCGAACGTACATTTTTATTAACCTTCATAACAATAATATACACAAAATATCAGTTTTTAATTTACAGAAAATGAAGTCAATCAAATATGTCTCAATTTATAGCATAATATTTTTTAATAAATGAAATATACTTTGCCCAAAAATAATATAGACAATAAAATGTTAATCCTATGTAAACATGTGTTTTAATTTTGCTCCAACAAATTTTATTTCACCTACAGCAATCCAAGTGAAATCTAATCTATATTATTTATTATTTGGCGATTCATATAAATTACATAGGTTAGTGAAATGCACTTTAAACAGGTTGGTTTTTAAAGGTCCTAGGTGTGATTTGAGAGACAAAAAAGATAAGTCTTTAGTCTAAGATCTGCATTAAGATTAAGGTTATAGCTACTATCTGCATGGAGTTTAAAACATTCTAAAAGGATTTATATTTGTTCTACCAAAATTATAGGGACGGAAACAGAGAGAACGCGTGGAGGTTTAGCTGTTGGCATATACGGGGGCGGAGGTGCGGGGGCCTTGAGTTATGCCGTTACGTGCGCGCGCGACGGCTGCTGCGCGCCACGATACGGACGTGCTTCACTCAGTTCGTGCGCGAAAGTTGTCCGCGTCATATTATTAACGCATTTCCTTCACACGCGAAACATTTCATTGCGTATGAAAAGTTCGAAGACATCGGTTTATTGTGTGTGGAAAAATATTATTTGAACCATCTTATTTTGTGGGTGTTCGTTAGAAAGTTAGAAGGATCGAGAGTTAAATACAATACAACCTTGTAGTGCGAGAAAGCGTGTGACGTCAGACCGGCCGGAGGAATCATATGTTGAATACGGATGCAGTGATGGAATGTGGCATGTTGTTGTGTTAATGTGCCATGGTGCGGTGGCATTGTTTACCTGTTCTGGGGGTGCGTCTGCTCCATCAGGGCGCAAGTCCTTCGCGATAGCCATGTGTAGAAAAAGATGAGCCAGGATGCTGAGAGCTTGGTAATATCATTTTTATATTTGCACATTTCTTGTTATACTTATACCTAATTAAAGGAATATTTTTGTTCAAGAAATATAAATATTCAGTAAGACTTGAAAAGATAAATTGCAATAAGTACGCTCAATAACAACTCACGGTCACGAATGATGAAATCTGTGTTGGCAAAATTATATGCACAAAATCGTATATTAAAAATAGGTTATTTATAATGATGACGACTGATTGTTGACTCACTTGAGCCTATTTATGTAAACATTGATTTTAACCTGGTACAAATATTATGTCAAAGTTGATGGTTTTAAACTTTTGTAACTACCCAATGTCAATTAGGTGTACCTAATTAGAATCTTTAAAAGCTTTTTCTAGGTTCTCTAATTCGTATTGTGTTAAAATGGAAACGGTTCTATATAATATTCCTACATCAAGATATATATATATATATATATGTACATATTATGTATTACATATGGTATTAACCATTTATCGTTTCGAAAGTCTCCGTGGGACTGTAAGAACCAACAATCAACATTCAACTGGTCGTTAGTTGCCACGCTATTGTTGATGTGAATAAATAATATAAGAGTGCCTATTAGAATAGAATTATTCGAAAGTAAATTAAAAATTAAACCACCTAGATAGCTTGGATACGCACTGGTAAATCGTTTTCCAGGGTCAGATACTCGGGTAAAAGAAATCAAAAGTTTTAATGAAACTGTTAAATTTTTTTTTTATTATTTTATTTTATAAATACATACTAAAATTTGCTCATGTTTTAAAATACCAACAGGAAACTATTTCAATATCCTTATATTATATTAGGTTTACAGATACCTCCGAACTTTTTTGAAATATACCTATATTGTGTAAGAAAAAACTTAACGCATTTTTTCTTAGAAAGTAGAAGTGAATGGGTCGGACCTTCGTGATACGTGCGTACTCGGTATTGCCAACTATATTATATTGTGGCATGTGATATTTTATAGCCCAAAAGTACGTAAATAATCATTTTACTTGTATGTGTTTTTGCACTTTCCTGTACTTTCCTATACCAGGAAAGTGCAAAAACACATCTCACACACACATCTGAGAGGTCTTCATCTACTACGTAAAACCTATCTTATGGTCCAGTTGACCGTATTTCGGTTATTAATTATTTAATAATGAAACCAGTAGATAAAACCAACAGTGTTTAAAAATAATGCAATCAACTATTTCTTATCGTTAAAACGCGTTGAAATCTTTTACTTCACATAATTAATTAAGCGGTTGTCAACCTATGCTGGGTTGAATTTTTATAAACACACAATAAAAGCTTCAATTCGCTAGCCCATATCGCGAAGGAGAATGCTGACCTTTTGGGCTGTCTCTTCGCGTCCAATTCGACTTTTAGGAAATAATCGATAAATAAAAAAATAACGATTATTAACAATCGATTATTTAAAAAAATAAAGAGAATGTCACATCTCTTATAACCAATAGAAAAGTAGAAAATGACGGATTGTTTACAAATTTCAATACATTACACAAAACTTTAATTTAAAAAAAAATCCGGCAGCAAAAATCACTTGGAGGTGTTCCAATGAAGATCCTCCGAGACTCCTGAATAATCAGTATCATCAAATTCGTGCGACGAAATTCAAAACTCTACCATTATTTCGCTAAAAATAATATTTTTTAGTGTTTAAAATCTTTATATTATTTCCTTAGTTTTACTTACCTCTAATATTAAAGAACAAAAGTCTGGAGCTGATGCGTACAATGAAATACATTTTTGCCACTTGCGTTGATATTCAGCGACATATTTATTTGAATAGCGATTGAATTAAGCGATTTTTCAAACACTCGGTACGAGTAGATGCCCTAAAGCCTTGGAATGCCTATTTCATGGGAATTGTAATATTATCTTGCGTCACGGATGACGATCCCACAGCTGTCTATGGTCTACTCTGCGCTCTATAGCCGATCGCTCGAATTCAACGTGAAACGTCAGACGTCGCGCGCCAAGCGCACAGTACGGAAGGGCTGCATATGTTGACAATACTTTATTTTATTACTCATACATTGTGTTTGTGATAGTAACAACCAAATTATTGTTTGTACAACAAACGTGAACTTTTAGTAAGGCCCAAATAGTTTGTTTTGAACTGAAGTGTCAGTGTTTTGCATCATTTGGATTAATTTACATTTTACACAACGATTTTACATGGTAATTATGTACGTTGATTAGGTGTTTATCGTAGTAGTCAATGTCAGGTTAAGATACAGGTATTTTGAATTGAAAATTTTCTAAATAAGAATTGTAAATATGTAGTACTAAGCTTGTTGTATGTAAGTACATGTTTTTCTATAATAGGTAACTAGTCATTTGGATAAAAAAAATTAACCATTTATTCATGTTCTATTTCATCAAATATTAAAACTCATTATAATTTATAAACATATTTAAGATTCCCTCAGAAAATATTTTTACACTTGAGATTTTATACCAATGATAACAGATAAGACAATACAATACATACTTAATGTACATATACAATATTCGTATATACCTACCTTAAATTGTACTTGGTATGAGATTTTTATATTAAAATGTATTTTTTTATGAAAACTGACATATTAATGATTATAGTGTGATATATGAATAATAAATCAATCAATAATATCGGATTAATTCTTAAGATTAATTTTTAAATAGAAAAATAGTTATTTCATAAATAAGACACGTAATATTTAATTATAATAAATAACAAGTAGGAAATGCTAAAAATATGCATCAAATTGTTAACATTTTTCCTTCGGGTTGAAGTCGGTTAAAAATAGTATTATACACAGGTTCACTCTGTAATACATATTTAAATGAAAAAAAAACCGCAATAATCACAGGTAGCTTAACGTATGTTACAAAAAAAGGTGCCGTAAAAATTCCTTTAAGCACCTGATGTACACCAGCTGTCACTTATTCAGAATTTTACGGTGAATATATGCATCTGCCGTGGCAGGTGTGAGTAATCTTTTTATGATTAAAGATAAAATCATTATTCGGATTTCGATTTATATAAATCTATTTTACCAATACTTAACCAGCAGCATCTCGATAGATTGCTACAGTTCGCTTTACAAGGATATTGTTATTCAGAGTGTAAAATCTCCTAGCAGACGTTTTTAGAAGGAGATACGACCTTTTAGTACACTACAACTCATAATTTTAGGCTGGCACCCATGGGCCTTCGTGCTGTAGGCGATAGTAACATTTATACCGATCGATCATTTTGTTCCCAATTATATAACACACTTTTAGATCAATTTCTGTTTATACTGATCTAATTTAAACTATATATTATAAATAAAGATTTGTGTGTTTGTTAAGAAATAATTATAACTTAATACTGAATACTGGACTGACTCAATTCAATAATTCTTCTTCTATTAGAATGCATTACCTCTGAGTAACTACATATATTTATTACGAAATTTAAAAAAATTTCCTGACGTACGACGGAACTGGCCGCAGTTTTCATATTTTATACACGGTTTTATTATACGTAAAACTGTATATGAATACGTTATGTAGGTCATACACACTACGGTCTACCGGAGAGGTAATCTGTGCAGGTATGCCTGCGCAGGTCAACTCTGAAAGAATCGATTTTCGATCATGCGCCGGTCGCCTGTGCAGGTTCAGGAAATGTGTGTGGTCTATTCCCACACACATTCCGGTCTACCTGCGCAGGCATACCTGCACAGGTGGACCTCTCCGGTAGACCGTAGTGTGTATGGCCTACATTATACGTACGTACGTACATTTTTATACGTTTTATTTCGTACGTAATGAAAGAATGTTTATTAATACAGATACCATAAGTTATCCGAAGTTTATGAAGCAAAGATTTATCTTAAAACGGATTGAAGGATATGTAGTAATATTATTTATGGACCATACGCAATGCAGGTGACTAAACGTAGGTACACCGCGTACCTAAATTGTATTAGGAGAAGTGAG